TTTGATTCAAATTCCAACTGGGTATGTTCTGTCTTCAACTGACGAAGGGTAGTTATTTTTTCTGGGATTCTGGATCAACTAATGATTCTCTATCATTTCCACTTTGAACTTTTAATTCTCTTATATTCTCTAGATTTTCCTTTGGACACTTAATTCACTTTTACTTGAGACATTTAATTTCATTTTATTTTGGCAATACAATATTACTTTTAATTAATTCATCACTTTTTAATTTACTATTTTCATCTTTTAAACTACTGGTTTTCTTTTTTAATGGAGTAGCTAATTCCAAGGGAGACGATTTCTCTCTTCTACGATCTGTATTCATAAATTCTTAATTTTATCAATAAAGCCATTAACCTTTCCTAGGTTTATAAAAATTCTTCCACGATTACAAAATACATTATTTCCCATAAAACATATATAAATACGACCTTTAAATATATTTCCACGAATAATCCCCAAAATACTTCGTACAAATTCCAATATACATACCTGTACTATAATACTTATTAATCCCGATGGTTCTTCAAAATACAACATAAACTTACAATAGGGCAGTTGTTGTTTGCTCTGGCTGTGTTCATTCTTCTTTTTCATCTGCTTCCTTGCTTTTGAGCTGTCACTGTGTTCTGTTGCACATAGATTTGCGAATTATTGGTTTTACTACAGGTTTCTTCAAAGCTCAACGGTGGTCCTGAAGTTCAAATCATTTTCGAAGTTTTGATATTTATAATTGTTGGATTTCATACTTAACGTGCAAATCCTACCAACTACGTCAAATTTTGTAACTGGCCTAACGTAGAAATAGGACTTGGAGGAAAAATGTTTGAAATAAATCAAACTCCAACTTGAGTTTATAAATAATTAATATTTTCCACACAAAAAACTATAAGTGAAATAAATAAATTCAATTCACAAACATCAAAAAATATTCTAAGTCCAATTTAATTTCACACACAAAATTATTACAAGTCCAAAAATATTCCATAAAACAGAGTGACACTTGGCATATTTAAAGAACCTTGATTTTGCCTGAGTGCGATTGTCAATATGCCTCAAGTCAACATAACGTTTAACAAATCCCGTACATGTGATAAAATAATTCTACGTTTATGATTGTACCGCTTATCTAACAATGTCAATGTCATTTCATACGACGACTCAGAGGCTCTGTGGTGGTTTATCCCAAAGATTGGCCTGTTTGCAGTATTCGAAAATGGCTCCTTCATCTTTTTATTTTAAATAATATAAGTATAGATACATATATTCAAATTAAAATAAGTATTTTTATTTTTATTTTATTTTTAATTAATTAGCGGATCACATTGAGGTTACCGAAATGTATGGGCCTGGTGCATAAAATGGTATTACGCGCACCCCGGACACCTGCCCATAACTGTTGGACAAGGGAGTAGCAAAAATAAATAGTAACTCGGTTGCTGATTACATCCTGTATGTCGCGATATAATAACACGAAGTACAATTAGTTAAAATTATGATCGAATAAAACCCAGACGTAGGCGCAGGCGTTAACAGAAATAATATTTACTTGGTAATTATGGTTAATTTAATTTACTGATAACGGTAGGCAACAGAAAATTAAAAAAAATAAATTAAATTTAACAAATATTACGAAAATTGAATAAGACGCATATTTGCGACTTAATTTTACAAGATGTTTTGACGACACTAAAAATGTGGGTGTGCGCAGTTAATGAGATAACTGTAACCAAGTATGGGATTTTTGAAAGCCGTAAGAGTTCCCAAAATGAACGTACAAAAAAAAAACTACACGAAACTGTGAGACACACCAACAATGTTACAATACACGTATATAAGAATATAAATACGACGGCGGTGTATCGGATTTATGCAACGCTATTAGCGAAATTAATTAAAATTTCTAATCGCGACGGCTATTTTAAATTTAGCACAAATACAGATAATACGAGCCATCGTCACTTTTTGGTTTTACGTTCAAAAATGTGTATATTATTAAAAGGTTTTAATGTTTTACTTTTTCAAGAAGTTAACTTATAGTAAATTCTGTTTCATTTTTTATTTTTTATGTTTTTTGTTGCTTATAAAATTAATCTATTAATATTGTTATTTTTATATTTATGAATAGATAATAATAATGTTTAAATCTGTTTAATCTTTTATAAAAGTTTACGTTTTTTAAAATATAAATATTTAATTTTTAAATTTAGAAAAAACTAGACTTAGAGTCTATTTTTAAGTTACATTATCGTAACTACTTAGTTTCAAATAGTAACCCCATATTTTTACGTGTCATTCGGTTGAGTATAATATTTTTGTAACATTGTTGTACCAGTGTACCTTCCAAATAATGTAGGCCACCAAAAAGAAAAAACTTAATCACTGTCAGATGGTAGTTATAGTGACCTATATCTACCCCTTATAGATAGTTGCTTTTAATATATAACAGCTAATAGGCACTATGAAATGTTAAGATGCCTACATGATAAATATCAGGAGTAAATATTCATAATATCGTAGGTAGGTGCCTCTTTTTTTATTATGAGCATAGATTGGATGAGGGGATTTCTTTCAGCTCAATACTAAAAAAGACGGACATACTTCACACGTGGACATAACCATTGTTGTAGATGAGAAGTTGAGAAGGTAAGATACAGAGGAGATTTATATCAGATGTAAGCAACGATAAACCATAGGTAACGAAAAATAGGTTCTGAGCGGAGTCCAGTTGACACTTGATAGTGTTGCCTTGTAAACTTTATGTCATATAATGGTTAAATGATTACTATAATGTGCGTTTCCATTACAACAATGATTGTTTAAAAAAGATTAAAAGAATGAAAAATTAATAATAACAATTAATAAATAAAAACGGTTTCCAATGGCAACCTTATTTTTAATCTTTCAAACTTTTCTAACCTAAAGCACCAAGTTGTCTTCATTATCTCAAACATTAATGAGATTTTCAAAAAAATGACCTCTTTAAAGTGCCACTCGGAGAACATTTTCTTTCAAAAAATGTGCTATACTTGATAATTGGAGCAAGTTTTCTGGTAAAAAAAAGTGTTCACATTAAAAAAAAAAATTAAACATCTTTGTAAAACCAATACATTTTTTTGCTAAACTCAGAATCTAAAATTCAATATTCATTATTTGTTAATCTTCCATTCACTTCTCTTACAATGAATTGCTAGCTCTCTACAAAAATAATCAATAGATACCTGCAACTATTAAACATTAATTATGTTATTTACATTTACGTAATTTAAAAATATATTATATGACTTTATTAAATTTTGGTGAACTTTTTTTTATAATAGATGAATTGCTGAGATTCATATTAGATTTTTCATCATGACTTCTAAATGTTTTCGAAGTATTATTTATTTTCTAATTCTCTTAATAAAAAAGACAGTACTATTAATAATAATATCCAGTACTATCCTGTTATCTAGACTACCTAGTAATAGAGTTTGTTAACTAAGATTAAATATGAATATAAATGTAAACTCCCGTGTAAATATAATTTGATTTTCAATTCGAAGTAGAATTTAGAAAAAAAACGTAAATCAGGGGCATCATTTGGGGTGGCAGGGTGTGCGGTCTCACCTCTTTCTTTTAAAATAGTCCCAATTGGCTTGCTGAAATAATGCACTATTTCTTTATAGAATTAAAATTAAATAATATTTATCTATTAACAGTATTGGTATTTTATTGCCTACAGTAAACAAATATCGTAGTAATTATATTAACTAATTGAGTAAACAATTTATCGTGTATTTTATTATCTACTAGACATACCTGATACTGAATGATACTTACAGTATACAGATTTAGATAAGGAACAATTGAAAATGATTTCATTAATAGAAATTTTACCAACTACAATAGTGTCAAATGAAAGGGGTTTTCATCGTTTAAAAATGTGAAATAATATTTCTATGGGTGATGGTCAAAGGCCAAATGACCTTATGATGATAAATGTTGAAAAAGAAGAATTAAATAATATCGATTTAGAAAAACCTGTAGGCGTATTTGCTGGTATTCGCCAGTATTCTCTTAAATATCCTCTTTATATTCCTCTGCGAAATCCTTTGCTCATGCAAAAATTATATTAACAATAATGTGAACATTGAATGCTTTCTTCTTTATTTTTACTGCATTTATCGTATTCAAAATGTGTATGCATTACTTATTGGTTTTCATTGGTAATGAATCATTTATTTTTTATTTTGTAGATTTTAAATAGTTTTTTACTATTTATTTTTATTGCGATACGTAATCTATTGAAACTATCAGAAATCGGATAATATACATAGATATTGTAAATGCACACTTTTTTATGGTTTGGTGAAATATTTAAAATGTCCGGCTTAAAACCTCATCGCACACTCGACGAAAAAACTGAATGACGTCCCTGGCCTGGATCGTAACCTGTATCAACGTAACAATTCATTATTAAGTAGGTATTAATTTCATCAGTTGCTGTTTAGGTATTGTCCTATTCCTGTATCCGAAGACGTCAATAAACACCAAAGAATTCTGATTTATTTAACATACATTTTACGGTAGTCGAGATAACAAGATTAATAATAGCAGATAGTCGTGGAAGTATTTCGGAAGTCGAGAAAATTGGATAGATCCTATTATCCAAGGTGCATTATTATGGGGGGATATGGGGGATAGATCCCCCCGTATATTTATATAAATATTATCTTATACCTACAGATTGTTCAAATACAAACTTTTACATTAGATAAATATTACAAAACTATAAAAACAATAAAATATTTACGCGGTAAACGTTAAGCATGATTTCAAAACAAATGGTCTGTTTCACGTTCATTCTTATTTATTAACAAACACAGAATATCCTGTCATATATTTTATCTAATTACTTACAGTACCTAGTAGCTACACACAATGTACTACACACATATAGATTATAGATGGTAAACATAATGGGTCAAACCCGCATTTTGTTGAATGAATAGTGATACTACGAACGTGCGCCGACACAAAGAACATACATTGATTATTGCGACTTGGTTTATTCTCACACAGTCAGTAGTCACACTACATACTACATAGTAATCGATTTTAATAATTTTTACAAGCCAAAATCAAAATGGAACAAAAAAAATAATCGAAATAACGAAATAACCAGCTACTAATAATACTCTATGGAATATTTTTAAAAAGAAGCCTGGATATGGCGTAAGTATTACAATTTTAAATTATTCAATATACTAAAATTATGCAAAGTTAAACAAACACCAGTTGAAAAATGTATTAAAAATTTAATTGTAATCACTGTAGTTTATTTCGCAGCTGGATTTTTTTGTACAACAACTAGAAGATAGATTTTCAACCCATTCTGGAATTTTTAAAGGTGTGTTTCAAGTTAAATTATAATAGTGTATTTTATATAAAATTAAAACAAATCATTATATTATACAGATAAAATATTCATGTATCAATCAATATTATTAAAATTCAAACTTTAATGGTTTATGTGTACGTGTCATATTTTATAGGATTTCAAAGTTTATTTTCCAATACATTGACTTATAATGAGGAGGTATCATTTAGAAAATTACTCGAATTTTTTTCACCTACTTTGGATGTGAACAATTTAATTGCAAAATTGAAATTGTGGAAGACAATATACTTAAACGAATAAACAATATTCCAAAAACCGCAATTGAAGCATTACATGTGTGTAATACCGATATTTATCGTAATGTACAATTTATTTTAAAAATACTTTGCATACTTTCCGTTTCTATAACTACGCCAGAAAGAATGGTTTCCAGTATTAAAATAATAAAAACTTATCTTCAAAACAGTATGTCAAAGGTTGGTAATTACTATAGCTATGCGCCTGTGCTTAATAAAATACATTTTCATAATATCTAATAAGTAATCTTGTTTGTAGAAAAGACTTAATGACCTGGCAATGTAGGCAATTCATTATGATATTATATTTTCAAATGAAGAGGTCATTGATGAACTTGAAAAAAAGCCTAGGAATCTAGACATAATATTGTAAATTAAAACAATTTATAACAATTGTTAATTTGTAAATGACGTGTAATATAAAATAATTATATTGATATGTGTTGAGATATAAACGTTAGATAAAGGGGATGTGGAGGGCGAAGCCCCCCCCCATGAGTTTGCATACAAATTTATTTTTATATTCCCCCTCCATAAAACATTCTTAATTACGCTACTGTATTATCCATTGAAATATCTTCGTTAATAGATAGACGTGCAGGCCTCATGGGTATTAAATACATTAAGATTGTAATTTCATGTTAAGAACAAGTAATTTTTATTTGGAAGATTTATTTTTTAAAAATCAATTAATTTTAGCTAAAATAAAGTGTGTGACCTCAATTTTTTTTTTCACCACTAAGTACGAAATTTAAGGAACTTCCTGTTAAATTTGTAATAATTTCTGTTTAATATAAAAATGTTATTTTTAGAGTACTCACCGAATAAAAATTAGGTATTCAACATTAGGTACATTATTAACACGCCACGCGTCATGCCGCCACATGAATGATATTCCACTACTCTCCTCCAACCAAAACATAAAACTGGAATATGTCATCAACGGATTGACGGAAATCAAAAATGTCAACACTAAAATTTAGTTAAACTAAGACTCCATTCATTTATGGAATTTTTAATTTTGATTGTTATTTGAAAATCAAAATTAGGTGGTCCTTTTGCCCCCCCAAAAAAGGGTGGCAAAAAATAATATTAATATAAAATTATTGTAGAGCTACTTGTTTCTTAAATGTTCTTAAATGTTCTATAATGAGTGTACCCATTAAAATATTGTATGTCCACCTTGTATGTCATGGATTCTGTCAAGAATTCTGGTAGAAAAGTTGTCCAGAGAAAAAAAAATAAAATCAACTTTGTAAAACCGTAAGCTTCTTCGCTCCACTCAAAATCTAAAAACGATCTTAAAATTAACATCGTCGTATTTTCTGTTGTTGTCGACTGTGCAATGCGATTTGTTGTGTCATCAATATGCATAACTACACATAAACAATGTTATCATAAATTACGATTTTCATGTACGTCAATGTAAGAATACAACTGTACGCGTTTCGTAAGTCATCCCGTTGTAAAAAACAATTGAAGATTTCTAAGCAACTAACAATCTAACGATCTATTTCCAAGCGTATAAAATCGTATCGTCGGTAGGCCGTATACGCGAGATCTGTGACTCGAAGCCGCCGAACCATCGCCTCCCGGGCTACGCATCACTGTATCAGCGTCCCCCACTTGAGGTGCACACTCAATTGAAATCCTCTCATAGGCTCTTTGATGGTTTATCATATCAATAACATGATTTCAATGAGTATAAGGTCCACGGTCCAAATCTGATACTAATGTAGGGAAAATAGTTGACGACAAATCGAGTTTAGATAAAGCCGAGAAAAAAACTGCATACAGTTTATAAGTCTATGAACGTCTAATTCAAACCAGACAACATTGATTAAATTGACGTCACGTTAATACCACAAGTACACAATCGTACACGCAACATGTTGTCCAAACAAATTGCAGAGAATTAAATTTGCATCTATGGCTCGTTTTAGGTTGAGTACCTTACTAAAGAAATAATGATTAAAATAAAAAAATATATCGGATTTTTTTTAAAAATCGCTTGTCGCCATCGTCCGAGTCACAGTCTTGTATTTGTTTGTTTTCTCCCCGTCGTCATTTGTGCGGTGAAATTATACCGTCGGGTTACTAACGTCGCCGCGCCGTAGCCGTACAGACCGTAATATTACCCATACACTCTACTTTCACTCTCGAAACACAACCAGAAAACAGGTATTATTATATATGCTTACCTATACTACCTGCCTATTATCGTCATTATAGCTTTCGATCGTCTCGGGCCGACGTAACGAACCCGCGCGCGTTATTCGCGAATAATATCCTACTACTCATCGTCGTGATAATATAATATTTGGTACGGTAATAATACAACTATTATTATTACTATCGTAGCGGTCGCGACGCGTTTGTCGGTCTCCATTTTCGGGTTAACCTAATTTTGATTTTTTTTTTTCTCCAAACGTTTTCGCAAGTTTTGGGTAACTACAGTATCTACAGCTGAGGGTATCATTTTCTCCTATAGATTTTCCATCCTGACATCATGGAAACGACGTTGTTTCTAATCACGTTTGGCGTGCTGTGCTGCTGCTGCTTGCCATCCGGTAACGCGTTCCCGGAGAAGGAACCGCCACTACAACAACGAAAACTACAGGTCTCTGGGATCGATCCGTCATCGCTGGACGTACTGCCCGACACCGGCGCCGACAACAACAGGGAGAAGCGACAGTTGTCGTCCGTCCAAAGCAAGCTGTTGAACTTTTTAAAAGTACGCCGTTTGCATTATTTCGTACACTGTAGTCAGCCCTAATTATATTTATGTACCTATATATAAATTTGGTGATTTCACGCAATGCCGTTACTGAAAAATTGGTGAAATTAATGACGGCCAGGGGCGCAGCAAAGTCTGGGATCGTTTAAGTCGGTTAAATTGCATTATAAATTATAATCGGTTCAATTTTCAGTAATTATTCTTTTTTTTTAAATAGTATAAAAATTAAAATTTGTGTGGCAGGGACAGGTCTCAGAATGAAAACCTTCTTGTGGTGAAATGTTTAAGTATCAGAATATGTCTAGTTGTTTACATTAAATATTTAAATTTGTATGAATCAAAAGTATACCAGGTGAATTATTTTAATGGGGACACTCATTATTTCGGAAAGTGGTAACTTTGTTCAAAATTTGTTTTCTAGAACATTTAAGAAACAAGGAGCTCTACAATTTTATATTTATGTTCTTTTTGTTACCCTTACTTTTAAGAGTAAAACCACTACCTACGGCCTTTGAAGAATAAGATTATACGTTTTTATTTTTTGACTGAGCTACACTACTCGTATTAGCAAATATAAGTAGACAAATAGATTCTCTTTGGAATCTATTTTATACGGTCCTTACTATTTTCGTCGTGAGCTCGGTCGAGCTCGTAACAAAAAAAAAATGTTGTAAAAATACTGAATTAACAGAAGAAAAAAAAAAAAATCAATATTAGTTATTAATACTAAATTCGTACAATATATAATACATAAGATATTTGGATAGCCATGTTTTCAAGCGCAAATAGCAAATATAGCATATATTTTGGGGGTGGAAAAGAACTTGACTTTGAGGTGAGCTAAACTGTCCCAATGAATCGTGGTATATAAAATTTACTAAAGGCACCGCGAAGGGCAGTGCTAACTATTACAACAATTTCAGTAAACTATTTACACGCCGTTTGGTAAATTACATACGCGCGTAATGGTGGTACTGTTGCCAAAACGGACGTTTCACTTTTGCTTTTATCTTTATGCATATAATCTACGTTATTCGTATTTCTGGTTTATTGTGATAATAACATCGTCAAAAACATATTATAGTATTACATGCCTACGGCGGTAGGTATGTGAATTTGCGAACGAAGTATAAAAACGGTTGAAAAATATTACATTCTTACGAGCAATTTACTGTTAACTATATACAGGAAACTTTTTCAATGGGAAATAACCCATTATTCCCTTGGGTATCGTCAAAACAGTTTTTTTTTTTGTGTCACGAAACTATTATATCACCTCAATTAAGATAACGTGAATATATGATGCCCCACGTGATTCGACTGTATAAACTGTTTAAATTACCAACGTTTAAACATAGTTAAGAAACAAAATAAATAAATAAATAAACGAATAGATTTCACCATGAAAAAATAAAAACTAGCATTGTGCAAAATTGTTTTTAGTATTTCAATACCAAAAATACACAAATAATTATATTATTGTTCTAGAATCTAATAATTTTAAGTTTTTCAAACTCGAAAAGCTTATTTTGTAAACGCGTAATATTGAAAACCAAAACTAACGTAGCACAAATGCAAGTTCTTTTTATTTTATGGTGAAAATATAGTTTCTTAATTAATTCCACATATTTTTTTTCAGCATGAAACGGTTTCTCTGTACAATTTATACACTCTGTAAATACTTGTGATAATAAGACAGAACTAATTTTCATAAATGTATTTGAAATTGAAGTTTAATATTTTTGAATTGATAAATGTTCATTTTTCCTACAATGTCGAGAAAATTGTTCTACCCAACCTTTTAAATACGGGAGGTAGCACGTCCTCTTGATGAAATTGATTTTAAATAAACCATATTGTGTGTATAACGTCGACGATTAATGATAGTTGAACCAGTGGTAACTAAGCATGGGTAAACTTGTAAATTTAGCCGGCCGTTGAAAAGAAAATGTATTTTTATACTCTTATAAAGTTATAGATAAATACCTTACCTATCGTTTTCATATCATTAAAATAGTACATTTTATTATGAAAACTTAAAAATCGTCGTTAAGAGTCATGAAAATTAACCGGAAAATATTAAAATATAGATAATATAGAAAACACTAAAAGTTAGACTAGAGTAATTTCCCCTCCCCTCAAGTGGTCAATTAATATCTATTTCCCTAACAAAAAAAAAAAAAAAAAAACGAAAGGTACGTACTTTTCATTTTCCTTTAAATTTTTCTTTAGAATAAAACAATTACTATGTATTTAATTATAACAGTTAAAATCGAAATGAATCAAAAATTACGTAACATATAAAACATCTTAATTTTAGTCAACACTGATCGCCTAACCGTTGTGTATACTGCAATTTAACATACATTTCGTAAACCACATAACAAATATTTGTTATTAAATTGTATCAATGATAAATAGTTCAAAATTTAATAATACATAATATCCAATAATAATAGGTAATATTGATACGCAATTATAACTTATAAGAACGATTAATTACGTTACCGTAACAGCATTAATGGAGATTTTTTTTTTCACGACAACAAAAATATTATGATTAATTATGATAAGGGAATAATAAAAAATATTATGTAATTTTTAAAAGTTAAACCAACTTAATGTTTTTAAATTATTATTTAAATATTAACTGATTAATTCTTGTCCGGATTATGAAATTTGCATAGGTATGGCGTGGATGTTTTTTAATTTTGGTTACGGAGAAAAAAATGGTCTAGATTTATTGCTGTATTTTTTCTCCTTATTTCTTTTCATTGGATGAAAAACAGTAAAACAGAAAAACCTCATTTTCGGAGGAGACGGTCTTACCTACATTTCCGACCGAACGGTAGTACTAGGGTCGTATGAGCTCGATGCGAACAACGATACAATGTTTCACTTCGGTAATAAACGTTTCGCCGTCCAACCTCGTACAGCTCATCGCATTTAAAGTCAAATGACTCATCGATATACTTAAAATATTTGTTGAAGATCAGTTGTATTGTATAACTAAATGTAGTCCATAATATTTAAAAAAACCGATGCGTTCCGCCGCTACACCGTTCCCAAAATAGCGGAAACATATTTTCAAATAATATGTACTAATAAAAAAAAAGTAATAATCAAACTACTTTGTTGTTCAACAATATTGATTATTGTTATACATATTATTGTCGGAGAGGGAAAAAAAATTGTCGAACTTAAAAAATCCTCCTCGCCGTACTCTAAAAATTTGTTTTACATACGGAAATTAAACTACTAATACGAATTTACGGCGTTTCATTTTGTATGTTACGAATTAAAAATAAAAAAAACGGACGGACATAATTCACACGTGGAAGTAGCCACTATTGTAGGTGGAAAGTGGGGAAGGTAAGATACAGACGGGAATTTAATGTATATCTATAAGCAACGATAAACCATTGCTAATGAATAAACGATTCTGAGTGGAATTCAGTTGATAGTGTAGCTCTGTCAATAATATGTGTGTTATATTATGGTAAAAATGATTACAACAATGAACGTTTCCATGACCACATTAATTTATTAAAATTAATAATCAATAATTAATAAAATAATAAAAACTTAATAATAACCAAAAATAAATAAAAACGGTTGCCAATGACAACCTGGTTTTTCTCATTATCACGAATATTAATGAAAATTTAAAAAAATGATCTCTTTAAAATATCACCCGAAGAACATTTCCATTCAAAAAAAGGTATCATACTTAATAATCGGAGTAAGCTTTCTGGGAGTAAAAATGTTTACATGAAAAAAATATATATATATCATTTTAAAAGCAATATATTCCTCGCTCCACTCAGAATCTAAAATAAAAATTACATATTCATAAAAAATCAAATTCAAAGTAATTTTAGAACTTTTCTACATTAATCATTATGAATATATTGAAGACGACAATAAATTGTTTTTTGGATTAGCATAATATTAGTTTTCAATTTACTCGAACTAAACGGTAACTGCAGATATTCAATATTAAAAAGTGTAATTTTTTTCACAATAATATTTTTAAAAAGTGCCGTTGTTAAATCGATTCAACAAATCGATAGTCACGTCATTTTCTAAATAAAATCGTGTTCTTTAGTTTTCATAATTGGCCGTTACACTATAAAATATACTCGTTTTGTGATCTAACGACTTTTCAATACAAGGTTTTACGAAAACGCTCACGTTATTGTACACGTGAAAATGGTTTCTACCTACTCTGCGACCGAACGCTCGCACTAGGGTCGTATGCGCTCGAAACGCGATGTTTAATGACGGCGGCATTTTCCCCCGGTAAAAAGCTTCTCATGTATCTTTGACGTTATTACAATATTTACCTGTGCTAGAATCTACCCCGTTGAACGATCTTTGACGGCAACGTTTTAGCGATTAGAATAAATTTATGACTAGAAAAAAATTAAAATATTATTGTATATAAAATTACGAACATTTTAATTAATGACCAAGGAACACGGGAAATAATAATATTATCAAAACAAATGTAAAGTAGGGAGAGATGCAGTTGACGTCCGTCCAGACAGATCCAAACTGGATCTGCAAATTGTTAGAAATAATTTTGTTTATAAATAAACACCGGACATACTTTATACGAATATGACTCGTGTTTATAAATGTACACTTTTAGATATTAGATATAGGGTTATAAGGTTAATAGTTTAATTGAAATATACTAGTACAATGTTATTAACGCTGCAAACATATTGCATTGGTATCAGATAAAAAAAAACAAAAAAACATAATTTATTAAATTTAGTAAAATAACTGATACGAATAATAGCGTTGTTATTTCGAAGGGTTAATCCTGTACAACGCTAATTATCCGTTTGCGTAAAACTTCCACCGCAAACCGTGTATTACGAACTTCACGATGAAAACAAATTAAATTAAAGGTAGTTACGCACGAAACGGCATTTTACCTATCGCCGGACCGAACTTTTCGCACCAGGATCGTATGCGCGGGGACGCGATGTTTTGTAACCGTTTTCTGCACTTTCGACAAGGGAAACTTTTGATAGTTCGTCGCTGAATAAACCACTATTTTCCCGATCTCGTCCGAAGCCCGCCGTTTTAGACAAACCGAGTACCTACTTTAAAATTAGATAAATATGATTCGGTACACACTGTTTAATAATATGGTGTTACATAATTATCTACCATAATATTCGAAGTGACCGAGAGAAATCGCTTTTCACAGTTTTATAAGGGTAAATATTTTAAACCTGCGGGTGTTCATTACAGCGTACTATAATCGTAATAATAATATTGTTAATTGTAAAACGTAAACGTATAGCCATTGAATAGTTAACTGAGCATCGTGCCTACTGTTAATTCAATGGCGTGCTCAGCGTTTTATTATATGTAAGAGGATATGAGGAGGATTTCAATAAAACTAGTTGTAGATACAAAATCATTAAACGTATTTTCAGGTAGTGTGTAGGTGATAATTGGTTTACTTACTCCTTCAAACAGTAATATTGTTATTACAAATAATAATATGTTTCACAGTGTGGTAATAATCATAAAGTAGAATAATAAAGTAAATGAAAAATAGATTTGTATTAAATATTGTCTCTAAATATCGATAGGAAAAAAAAAAAAAAACAATAATTACAGGAAATTCATAAAGTATAGATGAATTATTAAAAAAAAAAAGGTCAAGAGGAAGATATAACACTCTCCTATCATGACCATTATTCTAATCGAATTTCGTTGTTGTAAAAATTATGAATATTTCGATTTGTAGTCGTCGGGATGGACAAAAAACGTATTTGACGTATCTGTTTGCCGAGTGAGTTGCGAAACAAATATTGATAAAAAAAAAAAAAAATTGCACAGCCAATATTACATATTTCACAATACATTTTGCACTACAGCCAAATATTGTGCCATTCGCGTTTTTACCTATTGTTCCGACTGAACGGATGTACTGGGGTCGTATGCGTACCGACGACGTTATGTGTAACGGCATTTTACCTGGAAGATAATGTATCTTTTCGTTTGACCGCGTGAAGGTCGGACGACCAGGAGTGTATGAGAATCAAAAATGCGTGCATATAAGTATAGACCCGTTAGCTGTTAACAATAATTGCATCACGACTTTTTAGTCGTGAACCAAACTTCTCGCACTCCCAAAATGTCGTTTTTTGTTTTGTACGACATATTTTTATGTAAATCCACGCAATTAAACTTCGCGAGTTTTCATTTTAGTTTCTAAGCATAGAGCGAGGAATGTTTTGGTTTTACAATGATGTTTATTTTTTTTTTTATCTGTAAACAACATTTCTGCAAGCAATTTTGCTCCGATTTGCTATGATAGCACAATTTCTGAAAGGAAATCTGACTAGGCTGGTACTTTAAGAAGATCATTTTTCACTTACATCGTTGACGAAAAACGATTCTGAGCGAAGTTCGGTTGATAACAATATATGTGTCATATCATGGTGAAATGATTATAACAATAATTTGCGTTACCTTGATAACAATGATTGTTTAAAAAACATTATAAAATAATAAAAACTTAACAACAAAAAATAAATAAAAACGGATGTCAATGACAAACTTATTTTAAATCTTTAGCACCTAACCTAAAGCACCAGGTTTTCCTAATTATCTCGAATATTAATGAGAATTTCAAAAAATGACCTCTATTGAAGTATCACCCAGAGAAAATTTCCTTTCAAAAAATGTGCTATACTTGATAATCTGAGTAAGATTTCTGGTACCTAGAAAAAGTGTTCACATAAAAAAAAAAAAAAGACAAAAAAATAAAACAATGTAAGACCAATACATCTATCGCTACACTCAGAATCTAAAAAGACCAAAAACCAAAAACCTATACGGGAAATCAAAACCATAAAAATTGATAGTGGTTTCAAGTTCTGATAAAAATACACTTTTTATTGATTTTTATTAAACAATTGCTTGTATGTCTTTGTAAAAATATTGCAAAACCCATATGTATATTTTGTTGTTCAATTATTATTGTATATATTATGTTATAATCGATATCGCTGTGTAATAAAACAGATAAAACGAATCTAATTATTTTATTGTATTGAACTTTAAATGTTTCATGGTGCACATCATTGTATTTTATATGTGCACGTAATATTGTTAGGTGTACAGTAATAGTTCAGTGTTAGAATTTGTCCCGTTTCATCATAGGTAATCAATGATAATAATACTATGTTTCAATAAATGCGTTTCATATTTTTAATATAATATTAATTGTTGATAATAATAGCAAACAATACCTAAACATAATGATATTATTTATACTTGTCCTTATTTATTTAAATATTTTTGTAGCAAACACATAGATATACGTTTTTAGCATTATGTATTGTTATTATATAAATTATTTTCTTTGTAGAAAAATTTCTTACCTACAAACGTGTTTCGTTATCAGCATAATTTTATTTTAACAACGTTATACGGTTTATAAATAGAGGCGATTGATAATCGATGTGTGATAAATGTGCGTTATAGGCTACAAATAATATTACAAAAAGAGGGGGAAAAGTATTATCAATTTTAATATATTTGTTATCGCAATTATTTAAAATTAGGTTTTTGGATATTTAAATATTTAAAATTTGGAATGTACTAAAGAAGCCATCAGTATTAATGTGATGTATTTTTTCTCTCTGGTATCACTTTTTCCTTAAGTAAAAATACTACGGTTCCTTAGGTCGTAAGTACTTTAAAAAATATGTAAAATTTCTACCCGGCGGTACTATAGGTATTTGAAAATTATTTGTCTAGATACCCAAAAAATTTTCGAAAAAATTAGAAAAACTAAGAACAAATATACCGATATTTGTACTCTGGTGCTTCGTTTTTACATCTTGGTTTCTTACAGGTTATCTCTGCTATTAGTTGATTTGATAGTAATACCAAGCTTTGTTCAGTAATTCGCTTTTAAGTTTCTAAACATGTAATAGGGTCCTATCACTGGATAGCTTCCCTTCTCATTGTCCCTTCCCGTCGTAAATTGTTCTCATATTGCTTATTGTATTTGTTTTATTTATGTACAAATTGTAAATGTCATATATTTTTTTTTAATAAAAAAAAAAAAAAGAGTTTCTAAACATAAGTTTAGAATATCTTGAATCCTTGTTGTGTCCACCTGTCTCTCAAAACAGTTACGGTCGTTGGTTTGACAAGGATCATTATTTAGAAGGACTTTTTTTGTTGCATGTTGAATCTACTAGACGAGTAAGAATGTAGTTTAATGATTTTCTATGTAGTTTTCTTAATGACTGAGTCAAATCAAGAGGCTTCGTAAAAAGAACAAGCAGTATATGCAAATAATAGTTTTATTTATTTCAATTTTGTTTTATTATTGTAATTAATTTTAAAATATTTGTAGAGACTTGACATTTTGACAAAAAACGTATATTGGCCATTTCTATACGTAGTAAAATGTTAAAATATTCAAAAAATATTTTTGAACTATTTATAGGCATTTTATATTCTATTTTTTTTTTTTTACGTATTCTTTGGTAGGAGGCATATTAATTAAATTGTTTGACCAAACAGAAGAGATTGGAAATTTAACACAAAGTTCATAAGTACCTTAAATACTTAAGTTGTACTTATATGTAAAACAAAAATTGTGTAGTAGTTTTTATTTATTAGTGTGTTAAAACCAAATGCTGACGAAAATCGTACAAATTATGATATTTTAAAATACCTATGCAAGTATAATAGTTATATTCATTAGAAACATACTTCGTTAGAAATGGTTTATCATTGCTTATATATACAAATTTAATAACTTTATTATATTCGGTAAACTTAAATTTTTGAGCTATTTTTGTTTTACATAAAGTTATAAAATCAAATTTTGACGAAAATCGTAAATATTATGGCCTTCAAACATATATAACCGAACTTCGCTGTAAATCGTTTTTCATTATCAAGGGTTTATCATTGGTAACAGGTATAAATTATATAACTTTATGTTTCCACTTTTTCCACTACTCACCCACAACAGTACCCACATCTGTTCCCAGTATCAACTCTTTTTTTTTTATCAATTTTTCCCAACTTCCAACCTTTAACCTTTAAGTGATACACCTAACAGCAGTATAAGCGGGTATAAGCTTTTTAAATAATATTTTTAACAAGGATATTGTGAGGTATTATTTTGAAAATTAATGTCATGGTTTTGATTGAAAAATGTTCATATAATATTGCCGTATAATACATTAATTATTTTTAAACTGCGTCGATCATAAAATTGTTTGTTTACTATACCCATCAATATTGTAAATTAAATTGTATCATCTTTTTCTGTGCAAGGGTCAAGGCGTTTGATTATGTATAGTAATATAATGTTTTAATAAAATGAAAATATTCGGATATTTTGTTGTTACCTATAAATGATGTATTAATTGACTAAGATCGGAATAGATGATAAAAAAAAAAAAACAGTTAATCTTCAAGGTTTCTAATCGATTAAATCGTATATTTTTTTAAATTCCACCCTACCTAGTTCAACCTTGTTGAAACATTATAGGTATAATAGTAGTTTTATTTTAATTAGAAAATTAATAGGTTTTATGAAATTAAAAAATGCTCCTGTAGTATCCTATATTAAATCGATTGACCAAGTGTCTATAAAAAATAAATAATTATAATAATATAAAAACTTTTTAAAATAAAGTCAATTATCGATAGTTTTTTGTTACCAATCAAGATATGAAATATTATATATACATATTTAAAAACTATAGACATTTTAACAGTAATTTAAGTGTATTTAATGAGTAGGTAGGTGTAATAATAATGAGTTTGTGTGAAACGATATTATTATAGAACAAAACGATTATTTTTTATTATATTCAAACTTTAGTTGTTTAGATTTTATTAAGCTAAAAAATAAAAACATGAGTCACAAGTTATATTACTTAAAAAAGACTGTTCTAGGATAATAGGGACATGTGCAGCCACTGTTATAGGTGGGAAGTTGGGAAGGTAGAATACAGAAGAAACTTTAATGTATGTCTGTAAGCAACTATAAACCATTGCTAAGGGAAAACCGATTCTATGCGGGATTGAATTGATAGTGAAGCTTTGTCAACAATTTAAATGTTACATTATGGTAAAATATTTGAGTAGGCATTATATATTTTCTTTAATAATATTTGTTTAATATTACACCGATTTTCTTGTTTTTCCTATTTTTTCCCAGTTTTCCTCAGTTTCGTCCCGGTTTTTCATATTTATTGAAAAAACTCTTGGGAAAATGAAAAAATTACCTCCTCAAAGTACCTCCACAGTCCGATTTCCTTTTAGAGATAGTGCATTGTAAATTCATTGTAAATCGGAACAAAATTTCTAGTAAAAAAGTTGTCCATATGGTTTTACATCTTTGTAACTATAGACGATAAGCTTAAGACATAAGCTTATCACACATTGTTTTCAAGTTTCTAAATAAAATATAATCTATTATGACCATAATATACGCAATTTTTCGTTATACGTAGGCAACGTGTTGATTAACTGCACGACTACGGCGAAATGAAAAATATATTATTTATATACACGATATCGCTTTGTACAACGAACTATTAATATTCGTATGATTAAAACAGAAATAATATTACGTTATCTGAAAAAACCAATGTCCGACTTACACTGTCTACACGTGTTAAATTGGTTACATTATAACTTCTATACTCGTAATAATTAGTGCATGCGTATAATAATTATATGATTTAATACAAGCGTGTGTAGTGCACATTTCAAACCGGCGCTATAGGTGGTACAGTTACGATTTATTTAAAAATTTTAAATGTAATTCGACCTAAACACTATTTTAATGATCATTAAATCATTTGTTCGGATTTGTAAACACGATATTTTTATTTGCACCCCCCCCTAACCTTATTAAATGCATTTTTAATTTTTGTCCTATTGACTCAAAAACTGTACCATACGATTACCGCTGTATCAATTTTACATACTAGTAACCATAAAATGTTGATTTATAAACCACTAAAATACCTCATAAAATCAATTTGAAAATTTACGTTATAGGATTTGAGGAGGTGTTTAAATGGAAATGATGTGGTTAAAAATCTGTGCACATGATATTATAAAAATTACTGACATAAGTATTGGATCGAATGTCCAATATGCGGGTGCTAGCGTCCCAAAGTTAACAAGACGAAATCCGCAGAAATTTGTTCGAAGTTTTTATTATGACGGTGACATATTCTTTTTGAATACAATATTACTTTAAATGTTTTAAGTTTTTTTTTAAATATCAAGGTTGGGTGTAAATGGCTGCTCTTGACCACACACCTCTCTACGTGTGTCTATGCCGTTTAACTAATTTTATATTGTTTAATAGAAAGACTGTTGGAAAACAAATTATTCTTGCGGTTTTTTACGTACAAAAATATTAGGTAGGTATACATGACAATTTTTGAACGATTTAAAAAAATAATTTTATAAAATTTTGTTGTGTGTTTGATATATTTTGTTCGTGTGTAAATACCTATTTCTCTATATTTACAACGGATGGCAATAATAACATTGTATGTGTTTCGATTATCGTTATGTTACAGCCGTTGCCGATAGTCGACGTGACCAAAGAAGAAGAGAAATATGGAAACGACGGTGACAAATTCAACAGGTTCGGACGGAGTTTTATTGATGGCGTGGAAACCGTGTCCAGTGTGGTGACTTCGGCATTATCGGTAATGCATATTAAAATAATAGTATACTATTCTATGCTTTATAAATTATTCATTTAAAAACGTACCAACGTTAAGTATTGCTAGGGCAGAATACGTTAACGCGATTAAATTAATTTACTGATCCTCCGAGAGATGGACTCATAAAAAAAAAACCGAAAGACATTACAAAATAGTTAATTCGATGCATACAAGTTTTTAATCCGACATCCACTCGTACCTATAGAGAAAATAAATGTCATTTTGAAAACACGTTTACCTTGTATATTATCGAAATAATTTGGTAATTGTTAACTATAGTGTATATTAAAACAGCGGAAATGTAGTGGGCCTATTAAAAGAAAAAGGAAAAAAAAGTGATCGGTGATAGGTATCATTGACAATATCAACAAATAAATGTATTTCGTTTAAGATTAGCTATAGACAATACAATTTTTTGGTTTCTCAGTCTCTGAGTGTAATAACGATATCTATATAGAAAAAAAAAAATGATAGGAATAAAAAGAAGAAAAGAAAAGGTAGGATACATAAAGATATTAAATTTATATCTGTAAACAGCAATCAATTATTGCTAACGAAATACCTACGATTTAAACGAAATTCAGTTATGCTTGCATATTTTTTAATGCCTTAATTTGTACGATTTTCGTTAACAAATATTGACGAATGATTTAACAAACTTGTAAAAAAAAAAACGAATACATTATGTGCTCAACCTTTTTATTTTACCACTAAATACAATATATAATGGACATTCTGTTTAATTTTCGAGCATTTCTATTGGGTCAAATGATTATTTTTAATTAGTATCTACTAAATAAAATTAAACAAAAACTAGAAAATATAAATTCCTATTAATACATCAAAAATAATTGTTTCGAATATTTAACCGCGTCTAAAAAAACTTACATAAGTAAGTTACATTTCTCCTATGTTTTTCCTGGTTTTGCTAAATTATAAAGAAAACTGCTTAGAAAATTAAAATATGACCCACTCATTCACTAACTGATTCAAAATACATTGAGAATAGTATCTAGTCCTTTTTTATTGAAGCTGTTTTTAGTATAAAACATAAATCGTAAAAATGTTAAACATTAAAATTGGTAAAGCAGTCCTAAATTTGTCCGTTTTTTCTGTACATTTTTCTAATTTTTCCTAATTACTATGAAAACCTCTTGTAAAATCAAAAAATTACTTTCCCATCTGTACCAATAAGATCCAAATCGAAATAAAAAAGGTCTTGGCATTTTTCGATAAAAGTAAGTTTTCTGGTAGAATAAAGTAAATGTAACTTACAGATACAATAACAAAAAAAAAACCATACATCATAATGAAACAAATGAATTCACCGCTCCACTCAGAATCTAAAAATCATATTTCTATCACATATGGTTTAGGTTCCATAAAAACCAGTATAAAATTACTAATTATTATTAAATTGGTATTAAATAAAAAGATGATTACATCAATAACCCTTAAAAAAAAAATAAAAAAATACATTCACAGTTAATGAGAAAAATATTAAAGTGAATAAAAAGAATTAAATAATACAAACACTCCCGTACTAATAACTTTGTTTTAAAAACTATGTACATGTTTTTATTTATAAGATTATTATAAAAACATTTTTAAGATAAAAATAATGTTATTTTATACGAGGACAGTAAACTTCTTTAAATAGCTATTAGCCAGTTTGTGGACAATTTTAAGAGAACATCACTCTTATTTAGAAAAAAAAATATGTTCTGAGAGTATCGAGAAATGTATTGGTTTAATTGTAATATAATTATATGTTTTTTTTAAAATTTTGAACTTAATGATTTGTAATGGATTTGAAGCATAGCGAGGGATCTATTGGTTTTGCTATGATAAGTTTGTTTTTTCTTTTCGTGTGTCTGCGAAGAACTTTTCTAGTAAGTTATTTGTTTTTTGATTTTCTCCGTAGTTTTATTAATAATTAGGAAAACCAAATAAAAACGTAAAATATGAAAACTGACAGGCCGTTACGATTTCCTTCTTTTTTTAAATTTCTGTGGCTTATGTTTTCTACCATAAATATTGATCCAATAAAAAAAATATAAAAAAATCTTTTTTGTTGATTTTTAAACTAATTGATGGCTAAGAAAGTCGTTTTTTTATTTTCTTTGCAGTTTTTTGAATAATTGAGCAAAACCGAAAAAAAAATTAGAAATAACCGGAAAATTTAGGAAAATAATCCTTTTATTATTTTCAATTATGTTTTTTCGTTGTAATTCAGGTAACTAATCTGTATACAAATATAAAATAATATTTGGTTAGTATAGTATTTTTTTTCAAAACACGTATAACCGAACTTCGATCTGAATCTTTTATTGTTTATCGTTGGTTACAACTTAAAGATAAAACTAAATTACTTTGTGTTCCCACCTTCCTTACTACCGACCTACAATCCGCATCCACAGCTCTTTTTTTTGTTTGATTTTTTGTATTTATGATCAACTTTACAATCCATAAGAGATCTTTTTTTTTGCATTTTTAATGTAGTTGGTTAGTAAGAAAGTCGTTTTTTGATTTTTTATATTGAATATAATATACTAAAAAATGTATTATTATTATTAATAATACTTTTTTTTTCTATTCGTTGCAACTTTTCTATTAAAAATCTGACTCCAATAAAAAAATTACACTAGAACTTTTTTTGCAGAATTTTGGATCTTCTTGTTGGGAAAGGAAATAGTTTTTTGATTTTATTTGTAGTTTTACTAGAGATTGGGAAAACGCAGGATTAACGTAAGAAAAGCGAGAGAGTTTACGGAAATAACCGTTTGATTATTGTTAATTTAATTTTTTTGTTGAAATTCGTTAGGAAATAATTAAGATATCAATGTTATGTACGTGATGTACAAAATATTAAAATTAAAATGTGATAATTTTATTGTAATCATTTTGTTCTTATAAGAAGTTTAAATTTATGTTTTCACGAATACATGAATATCACGATATTTCATAATATGTTTAATCTTACTTCGCCCTGAATCGTCATTCGTCAGCAATGATTTACTGTTGCGTACAGTTACATAAATTAAATACCTTAATGTATCCTACTTTCCATATTCCTACCAATTAATTTTGATTTATTTGGTAATAATACTTTAGAAAAGTGGAATTCTACTGTTGTAGAGCGTTCTCTTTAAATTTGTAATTTGTGTATAAACACTATAAATTTCATTTGGCGCCGCAATGTATGTCCTATGTGACGCAATTCTGTTATGCTGCCGTTAATATAATTAGACTGAAACAATATTAACGCGGGTGTGGCTTATTGGGTAACATAATATAATATTGTGATTAATTTGGTTGCCGTTCATATATCATGTTAGGAGTTGTTTTTATTAAATGACCACTGATGAGTTGAGATTTATCATAGATAGTTTACATAAGTAGATAATAAAATAGATAGTTTAGATAGATAGGATAACCTTAAAAAAATAAACGAGCGTAACAATATATTTTTTTTATTTATATAGCTACAAATAAAAAGATTATTGTTAACATTATTCAGCTAATAATTGACCTTTCTATTTTAATGTAATAAATATCTATAAATTCAATAGCACCAAGTGTGATGATGGGTTTGGGTATTTCGTAATTTACCTACTAATTATTAAAAAAGTGATTTACACGTTCGAAAATAGAGATCGTTATTTGTGTGTTGTTGCGAGACTTTCATAAATTATTAAATAGGTCAAGTAAAATATAGTTACCTACCTAGTTATTTTAGATCCTGAGTGAAACGAGGAATGTATTGATTTAACAATGATTTATTTATTTTTTATCCTGTCATATAAACATTTCTACCAGAAATCTTCGATTAGTGGCCTTATTTCTGTAATAGAATATCTAGGTGGTGTTAAGAAATTTCATTTTTTGATTTCCTAACCAGTTTTCATAATAATTTGGAAAAACTTAGAAGCGGGAAAATTTACGAAAATAATGCTTTTATTGTTTTTAATTACGGTTTTTTTTTTTTTTTTTTAGTAATTCAGTTCAAAATGTCCGTAAAGACTTAAAATAAGAACTTATACATGCTTTTTACGTCCGTGGTAAAATAATCAAATCTCTAGAGCCGTTTTTGAACATTTATAGACATTTTAATTTTGCAAGTTTCTTATAACATTTTTATTCTATAGATACTCTGTTAGAACAATCAGAAATACTTGGAAATTAAACAGAAAGTTTATTATAAGTTGTACTTTGTGTTGAATAAGAAAAAATTGTGTTTAATTTAGTATTTTTTTTAAAGAATTTTAACAAAAATCTTAAATATGACAGCCTTTTAAAACATGTATAACCGAATGCCACTTACAATCGTTTTTCGTTAAAAATGATTAATCGTTGTAATCAGATATGCATTAAATTCCTTTATATATCCTACCTTTCATACTTCTTACCTACAACAGCTGTGGCCCACCCAACGTGCGAAGTATACCAGTGGTTTTTAAATTATTAATTTACAACCATAATATTATTATCACGTCAAATTAAATGCATTTTACTGTTTTGACATATTAAGTTGAATAAGACGAATAAGTTGTGTATAAATATACAAAATGTATTAAATAAATAATAAATTAACGTTTATATTTATGTAGGTAGATATCTTGTTTTTGTACATATATATATATATACCTATTCTGTACTCATAATATTTATTAAATAGTAAACTAAAACATTATTTAGTTATTTAGCACGATTTTGGATTATTTGTCTAAAACTTGCATTTCCCAAATGTAATCTATAGCTTCATCATTTTAGGAATATAATGTAAAAATAGTTACAGCAACGTTTATGAAATTTTATCAAAGATTTTTTTTTTTTTTTTTTTAATGCCAAGGGGCTTTATTATTTAAACGACCAGAAGGTCTTAAAATAAATATATTTATAAATATCGTTTATTCATAAGCAATGGTTTAACATTACTTACAGATGTACATTAAATTTCCCCTCTACTACTTTCCCAACTTTTCATCTATAATAGTGGCTGCATCTATGGCAGCTTTTTATGTGTAAGGCACTACAAAATTCGTGTTTTTTTTTTAATGTGGTATGCTACATTTTTTAATAATAATACAACTTTTTTATTTGTATCAATCTTATAAAATTTAGTAACTTAAATTATTAGTTCTTACAATAATACAACATAACGTCAATTTATTGACATTTGAAGTTTCCGATTAGAGAAAAAGAAACTAATTAGGTATTAAATATTTTTTTTTTTGTTAGTCTAAATATCATAACTACAAAACTTCATTAATTTTATTTTTGTTTACGTAGCGAATTTTGCGCCATTAAAAGTCTTATCGTTGAAGTGTGATATTTATTTGTTGCTATTTTACGCCCGTGACAGACAAAGAAAACAAATGTGTAGAGACCCATACAACCTACTTATAGATTTCTTCGACTTAACACAACATTATAATATTTTAATATCGATAAATAATAGAGTATACTTGTAAAAATTGTTCATTAACTCGAACACTTGTAATATTTTATTTTCAGTTTCCACTGGACACCGTCAAAAAATTGTCCCGAAAGGCTAACGAAGCGTTAAACAATGTAGGTGGAAGAATAGTGGGATTGCAACGATAACGCGTACAGCTTAAACATAAATATTAATAATAATTTATAATGTATTTTAATTATTTTTATGCATATTAAGATACGAGGGTTACAGAATTTTTTTTTCTCTTTTTAAACAAATAACTCAACTGTTATTTTATTGTTATAAATAAAAATAATGTATTTACAAATTTAATAATAAATACTTATTTAAATATATGTATACAACTATGCACTAATCATAAAGTAGAATATATGTAAATGATAATTATATACTTCAATAATGTAAATTAAGCAATATTAATATATATTTGTTGTTTTTAAATAATGATAGGAAAAAAAAATAAAAAAGATAATTTTTTATTGGTGAGAAACTCAATTTGTTGGTGTTTTTTTTTAAGTTTTACCCTCAGGTAAAACTTAAAAGCTTATGATAACAATTTAACGTAATGTTTTTCAACAACGATTTTTATATTCTCGTGATAATATTATAACTTGGACAACTGAACGTAGTCATTGTCAAATTCACTTAACTAATTTATTCACTACTACCCAATCCTACGTGCAGTTAGTAATATTAACTCAGCAAAAAAAAAAATTAATTACAAATTAATGTCTAGGTATACAGACTGTCCCACGAAGATATACCCTTTGATTATCTCTAAAGATAATAAAGATAATCAAATTCTGATTATTTTACGTTACTCACAGAGACTATAATATTTATTTTAAATTAAATTTTTTTTTTATAAAAACATTTATTTTATTATTTTCAAAAAATGTTAAGATAGCCATTCTGTAGAGTTTATAATTTCTAACAACTTACATGTATCACACATTTATTAATGAATCCGAAAACCGCACATTTGCGATAAAATGCAGGACAAAACCGCACATTTTTTTAAATTGTTATATCCAAAAAACACATTTTATAATAATGTATGATCTATTATTTATTAATAATTAATCTAAAAATATATAAAATAAAATATCAAATATTATAGTTGTATAATGTTGTTAAATACTTATATAAAATATAATCAATAAAAAATCAAATAAAAAAAAATTATTAACATTTTAAGCAAGCGACAACAGCCGATAGTTTTTAGAAATTTTAAACGATCCAGCGTTTCCTCATTATTTCGAATTTTAATAAGAATTTTAAAAAAATGACATATTTTAAGTACTAATTAGAGTTAAAATGCAACAATAAAGGTCTCTTATCATGTTTTGATTGGAGCAAGATTTCTAGGGAAAATTGTGCAAAAAGTATATAAAAAAAAATATTATTGTAACCAATACATTTCTCATTTCACTCAAAATCGAATACATAATTTACAAAAAAATTGTTAAATTTCAAATTCAAATTGACTAACTTATATTGCACTTCATTGAACAGACGTTTTAATTAATAAAATGTTATTATGAAGCATCGGTAACAATTTTGCAACTTATTGCTTTTCGGTCTCAGTGATAACAATATTATTGGTATAATAATTTAATGAATATGTATTATATTAAACCCACGTCGAACTCCAGGCTTGAAAATTGTAGTAACTTCCGACATTTTAATTTCCAGTAAGCATTATTAGAATTAATATCGAATAATTCGGTTTACATTTGCCCGGAGTCTGCATTTTTTTCTCGTTAATTTCGGTATGTTTACGGATTTTTGTGGTTCATTTCATTAGTTTAGAATTTCCATTTTGCTGAATTTTTCATTTGCTCATCGCGGGACCAAATCGTAATAAAATGTGGCCAAATTTAGAACGAACAGTCGTATAATTCGTGTAGGAATGTGCAAATGAATTTAGTTCTAAAAATTGATTTTTATAAAAAAAATGTTCGTTTAACATAATATTTAGATAAAATTATTCTATATAATATAAAGTAAACAAGTTGTTTCTTAAACAATTTTACTTCTCCTTTTTTTCAATTTTATAGTGCTATTTCATGCTATTTCACAGATTTCGGTGTCAACTAAAAAATATGTGATTTTTAATTCCTGACAAAATTACTACGCCTTATGCAACTTTTCATTTAACTTGATTAACTTTTCACTTAAAAGTTCTGTTTTCTGATTGTCTTAATAATGAGTATAAAAACGGTAAGGTCACTATTTGTTGAACACATCAATAAGTAAATGAAAGACGAATCGGAAAATATCAAAATATTCGATAACGCGTAAGTACTTTTATTGAATATTGTACATTGTTTTTTGAACTTAAAATTACTAATTAATATAATGTTTATATTATAATATATTGGTGTATCAGAAACAATATAAATGCGTGTAATCGCCGAATATTTTAAATCATATTTTGATGATGACTTAACGTTTTACATAATGCGTGTGCTACATGTTAATGATAATATTTTAAGCGATAATCTTTAACCGCCGCGTGTTTATTCCTATACAAGTACAGAATAACTGCTGTTGATACGCAATAGACCTGTAACTCTGTATACACTTTCGGCAATTTAAAAACGCATTCCGTATCAAATTAATAGATTCGATTAAACGAAAAACATTAAATAATATTAGTATATTATTATTTTGTTATATTGTAGCCACTGATTTCTGTTACTATCAATTATTGTAGTATGATGTGGTGGAATCATGAGCATGGTTAAGGGGCGGAGGGGTATGGGATTTGAACCTCCCATGGGTTAAATAGGATTACATGTATATTGTGTTTACAATAATTTTCAGTGTCCGATCGAGTTCAATCGTAAGTGCCACTAACAGTTAAAGAAGTTCTAACGAAATTTACCTCGGGATAGTTTAGGAAACTATGTCTATTCCAAACCTATTATAATCATTAAAACACTGTCGTTTCAGGTCTACCATCGCTGCGAATTTAAGCGTATTTCAGTAGCTACAGAAATATGAAAAGATTTAATCGAGGAAAAACGCCGCCGTCGTAAAACATCACATCTGGAATATATTACGAACCTAGTGCAAGCTTTCGGTCGACGGGTAGGTAAATGTTCGTCGGCGGGTTCATGAATAACAATATCAGCATGAGTGCATATATGAACACTTTGTGTCGAAAAAACCGTTTTATCAAGAAACGAGTATTATTTATCGTAAAAAAACAGCCGAGTATGAAAATTAAAGAACATAACTTTATCTAGAGAAGGACGTGCTAACGATTCAATCAATACATTTGATCAAAGATTTTTTTAACAATTGTAAAAAATGGAAACTTTTTTTTAATTCGTTAAAATTATCAATGCGTAACACCTATTGGTCGTGTGCAGTGGCTTATTTAGAATTTTTTTTTAAGGACCGATGCGAAAAATTTCATCCACAGACACCCACCTCACTTTTGATAAAATATATTTATTTTTTAAATTGGCAAAATAGCTAATAATTTAAACATTATAGTTTTAAGATAAAATATGAACATATTTTTACCACGCCGAACACACATTTTACATATCATCATCATTGTAGAACCATAAAATATTTTTTTTCCAATTTATTTTTTTTAATTTTGAATTAATCCATTAATTAATACTTGTACATTATTACATTGTAATCAAATAATATATAAGATAGATACGATAAACAAATTAGTTGTTGTTGATTTTGATTTTTATTTTAATTCGGTTAGAAATAATCGTAGATTAGTAATGTTAACCGAGTATACCTTTTATTGGAAATTTCCAGATGTGATATTATTGTTTTAAAAACATTTTGACAATTTTTGAGCTATTTATGATCATTTTTCTTGGTTTTTATAATTTTTATTTGGTATTTAGGTGAATCGAATTGTTTTGTATTTTTAAAAATTCTCGAAAATTAGATACAAAAGGTTCCATCATAATTTGTACCTTATTATAAAGAAAAATTATAATGCAGTATCTAGTTTTTTTACGAGTACATTTTTTGACGAAAGTCGAAAAATTCGAGGCTTCTCGCATATTATACTCTTTTCCAAATTACGATTGGATAACAAATTGTTGGCTTTAAAAATATCAACCATTTGAGACGATAAAATACGAACAATCGTAATTTATTTTGTAATTACAAATGGATATCATTTTCAATTTAAGTTGTTCAAACTATGATTAACTCGCTCAAAATCGTTTTTTGTAAATAAAGATTTATTATTGCGTATACAATCTATGAGTCCTATGTATATATCTTACCTTCCTAAAATTTCCACCTAAAACAGTGAGATCTACTCATGAAAATTGTCTGTCCCTTAGAAGAAGTTAAGGATCAACGATGGAAAAAACATCCACAATATTCTGGCTTTTTATGTTTTTTTGTGCGGCTTTACCATGATGTGCATGGGTGTGATATTTTCTGTTTTTATGACTGTTAAAAAAGTTTTCCGGTTAAACTGACTTGTTCCGATAAAAAATTTCACTGACAAAGCTTTCTTAAAGAATTCGGATTTTGTTACTGAAACTGACAATAATTACTGATGGATAAAACAAAATTGATCGTGATATCGTTTAATGATATGTATATTTTTAAATGTTTTAAGTTTAGAAACCAGTGGCGTGTCGTTATGTAATCAGTGATGTAAGCGATCACCAATAATTGTATACTTACTTATTATACTCTCCATATAATTTTACTACCTACCTCAAACGAGCCATTTATTTAACATGCATATTATCGAAAACGATTTAAATCATATTTGAAAGGTATTTATATGTCATTTCCTTATACTATTTCAAAACGCAATAGATAATTTTACATTATTTGAACTTGATTATGACTTAAATTGTTTGTTTAAAAATTTACCTATAATAATATTCTATAACTGAAAGTGTAAACAACACTTACGTTGATTATATGCACGCCACGCTAATGTTAGAAACCTACACGTTTGGAAACCTATACGTGGTATATCAAACACGTTTACTCGAATATTTCTATTATTATTATTTTTTTCCAATTGCATGTTATACGTCATATTTCTTTAAACCTATTACACTCCGGATCCCGTTATACTAGTATATCACTTTTTACAATATGACGTACGTATTGCGTTAGGTGTGCGTCATATTAAATATTAACAATTATTACAGTATTGAGTATGTTTACACGGTGGTGGCTAGCCACGTGTCCAACAAGTGATAACGAGTTGTTTTAGGCGTTTTACAATACAATAATAGCATAGCTATACGAAACTGTATTGACGTGTATAGGTTATGCTCGCAGAAACCGTATTTTCCTGACCTCTTACACAATATTAAAATTTATAGTTTTTGTTTTTGTTTTTCCGCCGTCCGCGAATTTCTGTAAAATTTGCACTTGCTTTTGTTTCGACGCGTAAAACTACATAGTTACGAACTTCAAAAATAACAGATATTGTTCAATAAGTAAGTACCTACGCAGTAAACAATCAATCAGATACAAATAAATAAGAAACGATAGTACAATTATAATAATAATTATTATTATTATTAATATTATATAATTATTAGCTCGGACTCGTTATTTTTTTCCGACGATTCGCTCAATCTAATTCACGGATTTGTTTTGTAGTTTTTAGATAGGAACTATAACACACATTCACATATACCACCGATCGATCTAAAATACTAGTACCTAATATACGCAATCGATGATACAGAGTGATCAACGTAAGACATTCATTATTGAGGAAAGTATTAACTTGTTTTTTAGAACATTTAAGAAACAATAGTAGCTCTCTAAACATTATAGATTACTTTTAATTTATAACACCCTTATTTTAGACACAAAGTTTCATCATTCTTTTGGATTTCCATCAATCCGTTGGCCAAATATTCCACTTTTAAATATGGGTATGAGAAGAGGAATGGAACATAGTTTGTCCGTTGGTATGACTTTTGGAATATTAATATTACTCTCCTATCTCTTATCAAACTCTCCCCCTATCAACAAAACTGCAAACTTTAATGTGGAATATGAAAAATATCAATACCAAAATGTATTTAATCTAAAACTCTGTCTATTCATCGAATATTTTTAATATTGGTTGCTATTTAAAAACCATAGCAAGGATAATGGTTTTACCCCCAAAATATTGATGACTAAAATTAATGATGATCTAATTTTTTAGAGCTGCATATTTCATAAAAGCTATAAAAAAGATACGGACATAATGAAGTATACGATGGGTGAGCCACTGTTATAGGGGAAAGTGAAAAGTTGGGAAAGTAGGAAAGTAGAGGGGAATTTAATTTATATCTATAGGCATTAATAGCAAATTAATCTTTGCTCACGAAAAACGATTCTGAACGGAGTTCGATTATATATGTTTTGAAAGGCTGTAATGTTTACAATTTTAAAATAATAAATCTCGTACATTTTCCCATTTCTCTTACGTTTTTTTCGAATTTACCCATTATAAAAACAGCTGGGACAATAAAAAAATGACCTTTTTAAAATACCGCCCCAATCAGATTTCTTTTCGAAAAATGTGCTACTATTGAAAATTGAAGGAAAATTTCTGTTGTAGAAAAGTTATCTACAGAAAAAAAAATAAATGCCATTGTAAAATTGCGTCCGCAGGAGGGTGCCGGGGGAAATGGTCCTCCGCTATTTCAGTTAATATTAATTGTTTTATTACTTGCATGACTTAAATATTTAAACCATGATTACTTGTAAATTTAAAAAAAAAAAAAGTATGTGCTACATTGTCAGAGAATACGTCTTGTTATATTTGAACAGTATTTTTAACGGTAGCCACATACTTTTGACTCTTCCCCCAGGGTTTATATTTCTGCAGGTGCCCTTGAATTTAATACATTTCTTCGCTCAGAATCTAAAACAAATTTCGAAAAAAAATATTCGAATACTTTCTATGATAATGAATGGTGTCTTAAGACACGTAATAAATTGCATTATGTCATTGATCACGCTGTATAATAATATTGACCATTAAATAACATTATTATTTATAATTTAGAATATAATATGGCTAATTATGCGATAACGAGTTTTTTAATTGGTACAGACAAACGCACACATAGACAGACGCAACTATATAAAACGTTAATAAATCCGAAGGTTTGGACTCGAATATACAGTATAGGTATATGTACGTAGTTTGAACTCACATTAGTATAATAAGCCAATATTAGCGAAAATAGCGTTTTTTGTTTTTTTGTTTGATTATTATTTGGTGTAGATAAAATGATTAACGTTTTGTTTGTGTACACATAGCACTATTATATTAATCGTAATAGTAATTAAGTACGCCGTTAACATTTCGTGTGAACCTCGACTTTGATTTTTGCTTGGCAGTCACGAGTCGTATTGCGGTTCTCACATAACCATTTAGAAGGTGCCTAAGTTGTTTCTGTTTCTAGTACACGTTGCTCGGTGAACGAAAAAAACATAGGACGAAAAAATGGTCGCAGAAAACGAAAACTACGACGAGATCGTGAGTATACGTACGGTATTAATGAATAATAACATCGGTGTTTTTTTAGAAACCGATTATAGAGCTCTGTAATCTTACAGAGATCCGGTTACCTAATATTATATTTTGACGAAACATTTTTTTTTTCTTTTTCGATTAGAAATTTAATTAATGCCGAGAAATTATTAAAACAATTACAAAGAAAAAAAAAAAGAAAAACTTGTACATTCATACTAGACCTTTTCGGAGAGTGTGTCACAATACGGTTATTTCCATTCGGTTATTGAGAGGATTACAGGTTTCAGAGATATCCTATTTAGGATATTTTAATCGTTGGAAATTTTGTCCACGAATGCGATTAAAATAATTCAAAATATTGTGTTGTGTACAAAACGCCAAGTGCGTAATAGATAACATGTAGTTTTAAAAATGAAAAGTAAAAGTTGTGATTATAGCAATAATCTATTTTAAATTCGGAGCGTGACGAGGAATGTTTTGGTATTTTTTTTTAACTTTTTATTTTGTGTATCTGCTCCAAATATATCGAGTTTAGCACCTTTTCTGAATTGAAATTTTATTTTATTGGTGCGTTGGTTGGAGAAGGTCACTTTCTTAATAACCCGGAAAAAGCGAGAAAAAAAATTAACGGAATAACAGAAAATATTTACGGCGCAGTAAGATACGGTGTTATCGATTTCATTGATTCCAATTTTGTTTTCGTTTGTTTTGTTTATTGATTCTAATTATGTTTTCTATCAGAAATATTGCTTTAATCAAAAAATGCAAAATGACACTTTTTGTTGAATTTTGGATTTAGTTGCTTAAGAAGGAAATCTTTTTTAGATTTTTCAAGTAGTTTTCATAATAATTGAGAAAAACCGTAAAAAGACGAAAAATGAACACTTGTAAATTGATGGCACTAGAATTCCTTTATTTTAAATTTGTGATTTAAATTAATTTAATTTAATAAATATTTGTATTGTTTGTATCATTTGTGTTTGGTTTATGTTTTTACCCAGAAATATTGCTCCAATAGAAAAACATCAATAGACCCGTTTTGTTTCATTTTTAATCTAATTCATGAGTAAGAATATCGGTTTTTTGATTTTTCCTGTAATTTTTTTTAATGATCCGGTAAAATCGAAAAAAAACGTAGACAGAACGGGGAAATTTACGAAAATAATCGTTTTTCGTTCAGTAATGGTTATTATCGCTTAAGGATATAAATTAAATAACTTTATATATTCTACCTTTCCGACTTCCTACCTATAACAGTGGCAAATCCTTCCCCAATATCAGCACTTTTTTAAACAATTTTTTAACATAATATTCAACATTTATTGAATTTCGATAAATTCTCAACAGCCGGTTTATAAGCCCCCCGCCCCCTTAATAAAGTACTTATCAAATAAATATTAAATACGCATTATTTGGTTTGATCGATATTATGTGGAATAAAGCCCCTTCCAAAAAAATTATACGTACATTTTGGGTGTATGCGCACAGACATTTTTAATATTGCAAATAACATATATACTATTTCACCTGTACGATTTTTTTAAATATTCAATTATAGATTTTCTTTCTCGATGTACATTTGTCTAGTTTAATTACTCTATTGAGTATTTTAATGCATTTTATGAACAAGTTTAGTTGTTAATTTAAAATTAATAATAATTGAAAATTCTAAATAGAAACACGACGCAGACGAAATCGAAGACCCATACTGTCTAGAATCGAGCCCACTAAAATTGACGTTCGAAGACATAACGTCGGCCGCTTACAAGATAAAAGACGGCGTGATCAAAACGGCATGTACAGTAAGTATTTAATAATCTTTTTTTTACTATTAATCTTATTATTTAATATTAATTAATATTATTCGTTTGTTTTTTTTCTTGTCGTGCAGAAATCGCATTTATCGAATATTTTAAACATGGAACTATACTTGAAAAAAGATTTCGTGCAATTTACCGGCAGGTAATGATATTAAACGTTTATATTTTGTACATAAAAAAAAAAAAAAATACTTACAGTTGGCGCCGCTTATATAATTTACTTTGGGATCAGCACAAAGTGAGTCTTATAATCGAATGGACATTATAGGCGAAGCGGAGAAATAACTTTATTTTGTTAATTTCATTTCACATATCTTACTTTTACATATTACTTATTAGATATTAGTTGATATTTTTATTTATATGCTACATATTATATATTAAAACATTTGTTAAAATAATGGTGTGACGTTTAAACTTGAATGACAACTGGTTGAACTACAACTAGACCAACCATATAAATGACAAAATTGCCATTAACGGGGGCCAGTTAATCTAGATTATACCTTTCCGTATAATAACGATAATTTCAATAAATGTGAAATGCAATAAAACGTGAATTGAAACCACTATACAAACACAAATAACTTTTAAAAAAACCTGTTTATTTCAAAATTTCACCAAAAACATACATTTTCTATACATTTTTTGTTACGAAATGTGTGTGTTATAGTTTTTTTTAAATATATTTGGATATGTCCGGGTCGTTTAAAGCGATTGTAAGTTTTATAAGTGGCGACTACTGTATATATCATATATATATTAAATATTTGATGACTAATAAAACTTCACAAATCTTTGTCGTCATCTCTTTTTTACAATTTCTTCTACAGTGTGATTCACTTAGCGTGCTCACCCCATTTTTTGGTTTAGTTTTGCATACATTCAAATTCTGATTTTTAGAACTTGTAACTTTTGAGTGTAGTTAAAGCCGATATTTTCAAATACTCAGATTTTACACAAAATTTAAGGAATATCCTGTGGAAATACCAACAATGGTTTTTCAAATGAGAACAGAAGTATTACTTTTTATATATTTTGGTGTCAAAATGTTTGATTTCCGTCAACATGTTAACGAGATATTTCAACTTTAAATTTAAGTAGGGGGAGAATAGTTGAGTACCAATAAAATTCCGTTCACCGAAACGTCACATAAGTGATACTCCACCACTCTCCCACAACCAAAACTTTAAAGTGAGATATCTCGTTAACGGGTTGACGGAAATCAAAAATGTTAACCTCAAAAATGTATATAAAGTAATACTTCTTCTATTTTTGGAACTTGGAATAAAGGTTCTTATTTGAAAGAACAATGTTGATTTCGCTACAGGATATTTCTTAAATGTTGTGAAAAAGTATTCGAAAAAATTGGTTTTAACAACACTTAAAAATTCCAAAAATAGGAAATTAAATTCACATGAAAAATGAAACCAAAAAAATGCTTACTGAACCATTCTGTATAAAATAATAAATTAAATGTCTATAGGTGTGTTAAAATGATAATATTATTTTTTCTAATCATTCACGTTTTATTAGTTTTATTCATACTATTATATTTTACTCATTGATCTATTATACCTGATGATGATTTTTACTATACCAAAAGTTAAATATAACTTAATCAATATTCAATATGGGTACTAAAAGTTAAGTTTTTCTTCAATATTTAATGAGAACAATAATAATAATAATAATTATTTTAATGTACCTATTTAAGTAAATTCGTTAGGAATTTGTGAGAAATTCGTGGTTATAGTTCGTTGTCTATAGAATTTGGATCCGTTTTAAAATATATAAACAAATTTAAGCGATTTATTCCTCTAGTGCAATCGTTTAACTCTAGAATATATGATATGGGTTAAGGAAAAATGGTGTGGTAATTGTTTAATAAATTGCTTAGTGTATACAATTAGTACATTAATTATATAATTAGGCTAGGTACCATTTAAAAATAAAATAATATGTCAACTTTAGAAATACGGTGTCTCTCGTATCATTTGACCTAATACCAGTTGTGGATCTGGGGAGGGGGCGATAGATGTCTATTAGTCAATATTCGTTGTTATAGAATATAATTACATTGGTATATATTGGTATATAAATAAATAATAAAATATGAAATATTTATATGCATAACATGTTGAGATGGAAAAAGACGTTAATGGAACCATAATCAGTAATGTTCAATACGAGGGGCTATAGACATTTTTCAATTAAAACTATCAAAATGTGCCTTTTTTCTGTACTGATTAGAGCAGTGGTTCCCAACTTAACATTAGGCATTTACCACTATAGTCAATTTTCCATCACTGTGGACCACATAGTTCTACTCCTCCGCCACTTATTTCTTTATAATTATTATATACATACATAATAAAATCAGCAATAAAGTAAACTGACTTGAAATGAGTTCACGGATCACTTGAAGTAAAAACCAGGGATCACCGGTGGTCCGCGGACCACCAATTGGAGACCACTGGATTAGAGTAATACATTTTTAACAAAGATGTGAGGGATTGAACTCTTTGACCCCCGTAGACTTGAAATTTATCACCTTAATACTGGGATAAATTGGACACTGCCTATTTTATTGGAATAATTAATAATAGTATTCAATATTAAGTAGCGTAAGCTAGCATAGCAAAAAAAAAACCCCCGAGGAGCGAGCGTAGCCCAATAAATACTATTTAATAGCTTAAATATTTATATTAATTATAAAAAGTTCAGATTATAAATTATCAACAGAAAATAAATATTAGTTAAATATTGTTCAATAAAAAAAATTGACTTATATAAAATAATTCAAAACTAATAGCATTTATTTTCAGTCAACCGTGAAAATATGGCTGCCACTGGATTATATTGTTATATCCGATGGTGACATATTTATTTTTGTACATAATATGCACAAACTTTAATTGTGCATGGCGGAATGACCAGGAGTTTCTAATACATTATAATATGAAATTAACCAGACAATGGTTAAGGTTTATGATATTTGTATAAAATTGATAACGAGCAAGTTGTTATAAATTTAAATTGAGATAAACAAATTAAAATACATATTTTGTGTTTAAGTTCAGAATTACTGTTATTTTTATAAATAAAACTGATATACCTACAAATACACGTTATAAAACTTGGTACACACATTTAAAATTCTGAGGACACATTATTTTAGGTCCTGGCGTTTTTATAAGTTTTGGCCACTATATGAATTTGTTCATGTCTTGTCAATTTGTCGTTATGTCCGTATGTGTTATGTGTCTTACGGTTGCAAACTTTGGAGTATAGTTTCACTAAACGATTAATTAGGCTCTAAAAAAGGCTCCCATTAATTTTTAGTCCAATCAGTGAAAATTTGAGATAGTGCTACTACGATATTCCGGTTTAAATGGGGCTTTATTTTATGTTTTATATTTTTTCGGCAGTTTTAAAGAACGCGGTGCCTGTTACGCACTGATGATGTTATCCAACGAACACAAAAAAAATGGCGTGATATCCGCGTCTTTGGGAAACCACGCTCAAGCTTTGTGTTACCATGGTAAACGGCTTAACATACCGGTAACCGTGGTTATGCCGACGGTAGCGCCAATTATAAAAATCGAAGCGTGTCGAAATTTCGGCGCCACCGTCATCATTCAGGGTATTAACATGAAGGAATCCAAACACATTGCGCTGAATTTGTCCAAGGAGAGAAATATCATCTACATTAACGGGTTTGTAATCATCGGAAATGTCCGAAATTTATAATATTCCATTGGGGGCATATGTTTTCCCATTAAGTGCCCTTCAAAATAAAAATCAGAAAAATTGTCACAGAGATAAAAAAAAAAAAAACAAATATATTCATTATATTATAACACATTGTAAATAATGGAGAACGTATAATATTAGGAAATTGAAATGCTCGGTGCAATAACAAGACAAGTTCATTTTTCGAAATTGTTTACCAGTGTAACATGCCCCAAGTAGGAAAACGATGAATGTATAGGTCAGTTAAATAAATACATTCAACTCTGAATAATAATCAGCAGATAATTGATATTTTGTACAAAAAAACACTAGTCAAATTAAATATGTTTAGAAAATGTTCTAAGACGAATAAATTTAATATTTAAATAATATAGTGACGCGTAGGTACTCTTGGTGGTCTCGTCTGGTTTCGCGTAAATTTGGACGGCGTAACAGGGCCGTAGCTGGAATTAAATCTATGTACTGCTCGCTGACTATCGCGCGCAGGAATACTATAAGCATTAATATAAAAAAGACGGACATATTTCGCACGCAGTAGCGATTGCTTCACGCATATTTACTTTACGCAGTGCAAAAAAAATAAACATAGGTTATTGTAATACAACTGATAATATACAATATTACTTAAACATTTTTTTTTCGTGATTTTTTTTGTCGCACAACATGTTAACTTTTTCGTTGTAGCTCGAAGAATTGACAATATTATGCCTGATGCTAACTATGTTTGAGTATTTTCAAGCCAATAACAATTTGTTCAGGTCAATGTAATTGGTACCATCTTGATTTCGTCGATAACAACCCGTGTCCTAAGAAAACCACACGACTACCCGGGTCGCAATTTGAATGCTATTAGGACAATATTATTATGATTATTTATAGATAAGGTGATATTCGGAATACATAATTTGTGGGGCTCGGTGCGGCAGCACCGCTTGCCACGCCAACCCCCTTAGGCCGACACTGTTTGCACGTGGGTACAGACACTGTTTTAGGTGGGAAGTTGGGAAGGTATGATGCAGAAGGGAATTTATTGTGAGTCTTTAAACAACCATAAACTATTGTTAACGAAAAAACGATTCTGAGCGAAATTCAGTTTATTCAACAATTAATATAATATAATTATTATAATAATACCGATTTGTGTTTGTGCACTAAAGTCCCCTCAGCTGCAACATACTATATTATATTTTCGGGTCCGTCTATTTTGGGTATTTCGCATCAGAACGCGTGAGACGTGTGAAACGTAATACGAAAAAAAATACCTGTGGGATCTGCCTTCTTTTTGTACAGAATTTAGTTGAACCAGAAAAGTCCTTATCACTATATTTCTGTACCTAAGAGACAGACTTGCATTATTGATGCACTAAATCATGTACCATTTATGTTACTCGAAACAATCAAAAATTAATTTTAGAATTGTCTTGTTGTTGCACTGAACCCTTCATTCTCTTGGAAATATTGTTTTTTTTTTGTTTTATTATTATAATTTCATTATAGAAGTGTTATTTTAATATCTTTATGATTATAGATACGTTATTATTAGGTCAAATAATATGAACCTCATTCGATTGCTGTATTCAGTAGTCATAATTTTTTAATACATACAATTTTACAAACAACTCCTATAAGCTGTCATGATATTGACAAATATTAATTTCAAACGGACACCATTAAATCTAATTCTAATAAAAAATAATCAAATAATAAACTCTCTCCTGTATTCACTGTAGTTACGATCATCCGCACATAATGGCCGGCCAAGGTACGGTTGGACTTGAAATATTAGAAGACGTACCAGACGTTGATGCGATCGTCGTTCCTGTCGGCGGGGCAGGGTTATTGGCTGGTGTGTCGTTGGCCGTAAAAACTCTGAAAAAAAACTGTAAAATAATCGTGAGTACACCGTAATTTTCCACATAATAATATTTTAGTACTGGTGAATAATGATTCACCAATTACAACGCCATCAGTAGAGATAATGTGGTCTAAGGAGCTAAGGCCCTCAAAATCAATCAATAACTCCCTAAAAAGAAAAATTTTTATATTTTTTAAAAGTCAGTTTTAATATAATGTAATTTATTCAGTGGTTTATTTGGGAAAAAAGTAGTTGAGGTACTCTAGATACTTTTAAAAAAGTAGCGTCCCTTACATTTTTTAATATCCCTCACATTACCGAAAATGTCTTTTACGTTAACTACGAAACTACTTGCGTCCTGTTTTACAAATATTATTAACTAGAGGAAATACATTATTTTATAATATTATGATTATACTATTGTTTTAGTTAGTTCTACACGTATACGCGGAGTAATTATTAAGCTCACGGTTTAATAAAAATAATAACACATAATATTATTTTAATTTCACGTGAAGATACCTAAAACACACGTGTATTATAAAAAATGCGATAATCTAATTAGAAAAATAAAATTCAATGCTCTTTTACGTCAAAAACTAAATAAATAATAATAATAATAATAATAATAATAATAATAATACTATCCACGATACCACTAATTGTATAATATAGGCAATTATTAACAATCCTTCGTGAATAAAGACAATATTCGTCCGTTATGCAATGTTTCTCAGTCATATTATACTGTGTATCAATTGTATAATATTATTGTTACGTACAAATTAATTCGGATTGTATCCATATGTTGTGTAATGTTTTTGCGTGATATTATTGTAATATCGTATTACGTATAAATTGAATAATAGGTATGATAATTTGTGTACACAAATTAATTTAAATGGTGCTCGATAAGAATAAAATCATGAACAAATAAATAATACGTATGTACACTGACCTACTCGTACGTGGTCAAGAATAATAATTGACTGTTGCGAAGAATCGCTTTCAAATTATATCGTACACTAAATAAAACACTAGTTGGTATTAAAAAGCTCTAATAAAAGTCGCTTCTTTTAAAAAAAATCGCCGAAAATGTGAATTGTTAATTTTAGATTTTGTAAGGTTTACCGTCCGATGAAGCCGTCCATAATTTTACTAAACTTGGTTTTTTCTCATAAAATAAATTGTCGGTTAGTTTTAAATGTTCTGCTTTTTTCTCGCATAGTACCATACAAAACATGCAAATTTTTTTACCGGTAGTACACTTAGTACACTTAGTACTACCAGATTTTTTCAACAATTTGTTTAATTGTTTTTCTTAAAAAAATTAAAAACTGACAATAAATGACAATATGTCGTTCGGTTTATTTTCGTTGATATCTGGATTACCCGTAATAAGTGGAAAAACCTCACAAATATTGGAGTTTTACAAGTTTACCTTGCTTCGTTCAGGACCGTTTTTTGACTTTTATGATTTACCCTTGCTTTCAGTATGTACAACTAAACGATCCTATGTATTTTATTATATTACCTTCTGAATTGCACATCTACGACAATTGTCTACTTGCGGTGTGATGTATTTCTGGCTTTTTTTTTAAATAACAGGTATTACAATCTGCCTAAAGCCATAGTCATTTTGCGATGAATTAGTAAAATAATACATGTCTATCATGTACATAACATAAAAAATATTCCCTTATATGTGTATAATAATATTGAGAGAAATCAAGAAAATATTAAACTGTGTATACACTAATGATATGATATAAATCCGGATTTCGGATTTCAAAACCTCAAATTATGAAAAGTGTCTATTTGGTAATTTAAAAAAAATCGTAATATTTTACTAATATAATATTTAGTACATTTTCCCATTTTTTTTCGGATTTTCACACATGATGAGAAAACTTCTAAAAAAATGACCACCCTAAAGCACTCCCCCCAACAAAGTTTCCTTTCAAAAAAGGGTCTACGTCATATACATTGGAGTAAGCTTCCTAGTAGAAAAACTATTCACATAACAAAAAATAATACATTCATCGCTACACTTTGAATCTAAAATATGTAAATAGAAATATTTCCTTTTTTAATTAGTATTATTACAAACAATAATTATCTATTGGTGTCTCATATTTCGTACTATAATGTTGATATATTTAAATTTCGCATTTCAAAATTCGAAAATCCAAATTTCGGAAGTTGGAATCTGGATTTTCGAACTTCGGAAAATCCGGATTTTTCTCACCATTAGTATACACACAGTTCATACCAAGGAATATATTGGTCTCGTATTTATTACAGCATCTATATAAAAGAGTCTGTATTATAGATATTTACTAGTATTATTACGAACCATTTTAAAGTCAAACCGAACGGAACCAAACCTACACATTTTTATTCGAATCCGAACCGCACTGAACTTTTAAACTATTTTATCGAACTCAAATTCGAACATTATAAAGTAACTAGGTTATCCTGTTGTTTGATGGCCGAAGTTTTTTATTTGTATGAAATTTAAAAAATGAATAATAATATATATATATATATATAAGACCCACTAATACTGAAAAAATAGAATTTGTTTTTTTCGTAACAAGGCCGCTCTATCCCATCAAGGAACATCGTATTGGTGACCACGCTGAATCGGCATCGAATGATTTTCAAACCGAATTATCGGGTACTTGGTTAGGTTCCATTATTTGTAATTTACAATCCGATTCGTGAACTGAACCAAACGCCCCGGTTCGGTTCGGTTCGAAAATCGAACATTTCGTAATAACTACAGTACTAACAAAAGCCTATAAATACGCTATAAGCGGAATTCAATCGGAATTATGTGTAATGTATTTAGTTTTACCGTCATATTTATTGGTGCCACAGAATAATATTTACTTGACATAATAATAATAATATATGGTTTCAGGGCGTCGAATCCGATCGGGTCCCGAGCTTCTCGAAAGCCATGGAACACGGGAAACCCGTGACCGTTGACAGTAAGTCAACTTTGGCTGACGGTCTGGCAGTGCCTAGAGTGGGGTACAACGCGTTTGCCACCGCTATAAACTTGATCGATAAAATGGTAAGCAATTATTATAATATATCTTATAGTATTAGCTAACAACATCGACAATTGTATACAAAATCGAAATAATTCTTTTGAAAACAGATGTTATTGCATTGCATCGTATCTATTATACAGTGTGTCCCACCGTGTTCGACGGACTTCTCTTGTGCAGTTAATATTGAATTGTTTTCCGTTTTTTTTTTTTTCAATCGGTTCGTTTTCGAAGGGAACATCAATTTAGAGAAAAATTAAATTTTTATTTTCATCCCCTAAATACACGCATAAAAAAAAATAACTTTATTTATTCAATTATAACATTTTAAAAATAGCCATTTTAATGTATCTTACATTCATATCTGATTAATAGTTTCTTAATTATAGCCGTTTTAATTTCTAGAAAATAGAAAAAATGAATATTCAATATAAGGTAAAGAATAACCGTGCTAATTGCAAATCATTATTACATAGCCTCTTACTTTATTGAATATTAACTGTTGAATGTGTGGTACAATAAAGATTTTTTGAATATTTTTTTTTACAAAATGGTTGTTTTGAAAATTCTTTAAAGTGAAAAAATAGTTGTTTTTTTTTTTTGTCTTTTGGAAGTAAAAATAAAAATTTAATTTTTCTCCAAATCAATATCCCGCTCAAAGTCTAACCGATTAAAAAACAATGTTATATTAACAGTGTAAGAAAAATTTGTCATTCACAGTGGGTCAACTGTATATTATACAAACCTATTGTGTATTTTTTTTATTGCAATTTTTGGGCACTTTTAGAAAATTCCTCTTGACCAAATGAGCTCAAACATAGGAATTTAAGTTATTTTTTAGGTAGATTAAAGTTATAACATTGCTTGGAGTATGTAAATGTAATTATATGTGTATTGTACTACCCGTTTCGAATTAAAAATGCATCATCAGATACATCATAAAATCAAAAAGTAAAACGTGCCTGAATATGAAAAAATAAATTAAGGAATACATTAAAAAAAATTTAAAAAGTAAATTATACAAATTGGTCGTTTTACATAGAAAAAATTTATTTTAATAGGACATTTATTACTACATATAAATACATAATTTATAAATTTATTCACGAGTATTAACCATTTAATAATTTTGTTTTTACTTTATTATTTTATCACAAAATATTAGATGGTTTAAACTTTCTAAGGAATTTAATATAGGCAAAAAATGTTACGATCTGTAACTGTATAGGTGTTTACATTAGAAAAGGAGCAAAGTTAGGTCTACTTTTAGTAGGTTATTACTTTTACAAATTTTGAGATCCCAGACTTCAGTCTTTCTCCCAAATCTCAAATACTATTTGTACCTGTGTCGAGAAGTACAGTATGTGACTATATGGTTCATTACTTTCCGAAATTCTGTGATCCGTGAGATTACTTTCCGGGATTATACATACGTCCAAACGAGCCACGTCGTATATGTAAGTACTCGTATCTAACATACTAGGTCATATATTTAAAGAAGTGGATACACCCATTATCTCGGAAAGTATTAACTTTAAGTAACATTTTTTTTTTTTGAAAATTTAAGAAACAAGCAGTTATATAAAATGTTACATTACCATTATCCTTTATTTGTGGGGTTTAAAGTTGTAAATAACGAACTATATTAAAAATTCCATAAATAAATAGAATTTTAGTTTAAATAAATATTAGTGTTAAACTTTTTGATCACTGTCAACCATTTGACGAGATATCCTACTTTTATGTTCGGGATTGGGAGAGTAGTAAACCATAATAAAACACTACGCACTTTGCCATCACACAAATGCTGCTCTATGGTCTCTAGGAATGTACAATGTTAATAAATACCATTTTCCCTCTACAACATGGTGAAGTTTATATTGAAATTCAACCAAAATTTTATCACTTCAATCCGTCTATAAAAAATTCTAATTTGTGAATTTGAGTTGTTTTAAAAGCCATTAAGTATCCAAATGTATTAGGGAAAAGATACGTGTATGTACACTGTACAAAATGTCCCACGAAGATATACCAATTGTAATATCTCCGGAAATAATAAAGATAATCAAATTATGTAACATATTACTCACTAGGATAAGGACTACAAATATTTATAATGCAATTAATTTTTATGTTTTAATAAACAAATTTTAAAAATAAAAAAATAAAAAGTTATTTTTTTATGTTTTTTTATCGAAGAATAAAAAATAAATTGCATTATATATATTTGTAGTCTTTATCACTGTGAGCAGTATAAAAAAACAGGATTTAATTATCTTTATTATCTCCAGAGATATTTCAATAGGTATATAGAAGCACATGTATATACAAATACAACACAGAGTTATGGAGACAATAATCTCTAACAATAGCACTAATATTTAATATATTCGAGAATTCTCACAGCCCTTAGTAGGTTGCACCTATCTTTCTACACCGATGTTTCGTATTATGTAGGTTGTGGTCACAGAAGAATGGATATCGATGGCCATCTTGAGGTTAGTCGAGGCCGAAAAATGTGTAGTCGAAGGGGCTGGAGCCATTGGTCTGGCGGCCGCGCTCTCAGGGGCGCTCGATGAATTTGTCGGTAAAAAGTGAGTAGCCTAATAATATTATATTTTATGCTATATTTTACAGGCGTACGGGTTTAGAGTAATGTAACCTGTCTGACCGCATGCTTTTAACTTCAAATTATTTTAAGTATCGTCAAGTATATACTCATTTATTTAGTACAAGTAAAACCAAAACAGGTTGTTACATTAATTTTTTTTTTCTGAACTCTACTTCGGTTCACAGTTTTAACTTGTTATTACGTTACAATATGTAACGTATGTTACATATTGTGTAATGTATGTTTGGCGATGTAGTTTTCGGTAAATAATTGTCTGCATTTTTGCTACTTGTTTGCGATATCTTGAGATATCGCATCGATATTATTGTTGTTTGCGGATTCTGCTAACGTGGTTATTGTCAGAGTCCATTCAGTTATCAACAATTTGCAGTAAAAATTATCACTAAAACAGTTTGTTCGATAAACTAATAAACACTAACCAGGTTGCTCAAAACCGCATCGTCAAAATACGCCTTAAAAGTCATTTGTGAATTTTACTTACCTATATAATATGTTTACAGAGTGGTCCTGTTGCTTTGTGGAGGCAATATAGATACTTCAATATTGGGTAGATGTTTGGACAGAGGATTGGCCATCGACGGCCGGCTAGTCAAGTTCCACGCAACCCTGAGTGACAGGCCTGGAGGAATTGCGGAACTGTGTAGAGTATTGGCTACGATTAACGTTTGCGTCAAAGACATAATTCACGAAAGAGCCTGGCTCTCCGACGACGTTTTTAGCGTCCGGGTCAGTGAACACGTACACATTAATACTATTTATAGGATTTTTGGTATTTTGAAGTATCATTAACGTATTTCACATGTATAAGTTTAGTCAATTTACTATTAGATTCTGAGCGGACCGAGTATAGTATGTTTCAAATGGTTTAAATAAAAAGTCGACATACTTTGTGCCATGGGTTAGGCACTGTTGTAGATGGTACGTTGGGCTGGTATACGATATATAGTTTAATTTATTAGTTTAAAATATTAAAAGTAACGATGAATCGTTGCAATTCAAAACTAATTCTGAGCGGAGCTCAGTTAACCAATTACGGGTACAGAATTAATCGTAGTATTGATACTGTTTTTATTTTTGTAAATTTGATTGAAAAAACGCTGGATAATCTTAAAAAATGTTTCATATGAAGTATTATCAAGCCGAAAAATGATTTTAAAATTACTTTTAAGGTACGAAAAAAACGGGAACATTTTTACAAACCGAAAAAGCGTTTTCTAAGAAAAATAAAATCATTTTAATGATATTAATGGCTTCTATGATAACACGCTCAGAATTTAAAAAAAAAAAAACGACGTCATAGAATAATGGATGCAGCCACTGTTACAGATAATTTAATGTATATCTGTAAGCAGCGATAAACCATTGCTAACGAAAAAACGATTCTGATCGCAGTTCAGTTGATAGTGATGCTTTATCAACAGTATATATGTCTTTTTTTTGAAAAAAATAATTAAATAGGCATAATATATTTTCTTTAATAATATTTGTTTAATATTGTACCGATTTTTCCGTATTTCCTGCGTTTTTCTCGGTGATCCAATGTTTTTTCACGGTTTTTTTACATACGCTGGGAAAATCTTGAGAAAATAAAAAAAAGCTTCTTTAAATTACCTCCCAAGTCAGATTTTCTCTTAGAAACAGTACTATCATTAAAAATCGGAGTGAAATTGCTAGTAGAAAAGTCGTACACAGGAAAAAAAAAACGTACTATTTATTAATTTATTTTACTAGTAATTGTATTACTAATGTATTTTGTACATTTTCTCGTTTATTTTACGTTTTTTACGATTTTTCCTATATATTTGGAAAATCAAACAATTTACCATGGAGATAAAATTTCCATTAAGAAAATAAGCTACACTTAATACATCGGAGCAAATTTTTCGGTGGAAAAGTTTGTACTACAAATCGAGGGGTATTTTGCGATTAAAATAGTCCGAGCGATCAATGGGTTTCTAGGTACAATTAAAAATTTGTTTCCCTGTTTAGGTAGAAAGGGAAAAAAATGCAAAAAATTGAAAAATTCGATTTGTTCCACATGATTTTTACTCAACGTTTTCATAAAAATTTGATATTAAAATTACTTTATAAAAAAAAATACTATAAATACTACATTAAAATCAATTTTTTTTTTCGACCACAAAGTAAGATTCTTAATAAACGCCCTGTTAAATTTTTAAGCATTTCTGTTGAGCCTAACAATTTACCACAGAATACCTACCGAATAAAAATTACGTACAAAACTTGCAAAATTAAAATGTTTATAAATAGCTCAAAAATAGCTTCATTTTTTTGAAAATTTTATCATGTCTAGAAAAGGCAAATATAAGTTTTTGTCCAAATTTTAAGTCTTTACGAATATTTTTAACTGAATTGCAACAAATAACAAAATTGAAAAATAATACAAACATTATTTTCGTACATTTCCCGTTTTTTTTACGTTTTATCATGGTTTTTCCCAGATATTATGAAAAATCACCTGGAAAATCAAAAAATGACCACCCAATAGTACCATGTGGAAAACATTTACTGTCAGAAATGGTGTCGTGAGTAATATCTGAGTAAAATTTCTGGTAGAATTATTGTACTCAGTATAAAAAAAAAAATCTTAATACGTTCTTCGTTACACTCAGAATCTAAAATAATTTCCGCATTATTATAAGAGGGTGTTGTACGTTATAAAATAACGTATACCTAACCTATACCTTATTAATTTTTAATTTTTTTTGTTAATTTTACATTAAAGGTTAAAGTCGTCTGCGAAACAAGAGACATGAATCACGCCCAACTGCTCCAATCACTCATCAAGAAGAATTACAGTTCATCGGTGTTCGGTGATATACCGTTACCGAAGATACTTTAATTGCCGACTTGATCATTTTTGTTATTTTTTTATTAATATATAGGTCTTTTTATTATTATTTTTAATCATTACTCGTTAGTCGTAATGTTATTGTAATATAATATTTACTCGGATAATATACGGCTAAACTCATTCGTCTAATATAAATAAATAAATACTCATAAATAAAAACATATAATAATAAAAACATTTTCTACTATCGAAGTTGACATTAAATATTTATTATTATTTTTTCAAACATTTAAAATTGAAATTAATTAACACACATAATATAATTTGATTAAATATTCTAATTTCTAAATGAATATAACATTATTATTATAATTTTTAAATGAATATAATATTAATCGATTAACGATTATAAGTTATAACGTAAAGAATCGTATACATATACATATATAAATGATTAACAATAATAATAATGGTATAATTTTTTTTCTGGTTATAAATTGACTAATTTATCATGCTAAACTCAAAGATAACAGCAACATATAATATTAAATATTTAAACATATAGCTATAATATTAACTCTTCACAATAAATCTAAAAAAGTATTATAGTACCTAAACACTGGACTGATATAATATAACTATCAACGATAATATTAAAATTTAAACATTTCATACTAAATATTAACTTTTTTTTTTTTTTTCAATAATCATAAAAAATTTCAATAACACATCAATAAATATACTTCATCATACATTAACAAATATATTATAAATTTTGAATAACAAATCAATACGTAACCAACACATTTATCATATGCACTTTCCTGGTCCGCCCTTATACAATAAACAGTCTTTCTGTTTCACGAGTCAAAGATCAATTTCCGTAACTCTAAATTGACTAATACACTATCTGTATAATATCATGAATAACAACAATAATAATATAACACAAATAAAACAATTAACATTAAGATTATAATACCATACGAGTATAGAACTCGGTAAGTTATTCAAATTTATATTAAATTATTGATTTGTTCTATGCAATTCTCTTTCTCCCTTTCTCTCTCTCTCTATCTCTCTCTATGCATATATACATATATATTTATATAGTAATTAAAGGTAAGCTTAATATAACATAATAAATCGTAGACAGGGTATTTCGATAAAGACGCTCGACCTTTAATCGGTGATGGCGGCTGTGTTGCTGGTACGCACAGCACGCGGCCCGTCGCGACAACGGCTGCAGCTTTTGCCGCGCCCCACTCACACGGCCGCCGCTGGCGGGCAAATCAACCGGTCCGCTTTAGGACAAACGCGGAAACGTTCGCGCGGCAGCGACCTGACCGAGGGGACGTGCGAGTCGACAAGCTCGACCCGCGTCAACCGGGTACCGGGTCCCGGCCGAATACGTCGCGGCAACCCGGCACCGAACCAGCCGCCGACGGGCGACGGCCGGCAGAAGTCAACCGACCGACCGTCCAACAAGGAGGGCATACCGAATATACCGTTCTCACGGCTGCCGCGCTCGCCCGCCGTGCCCCCGTCCCGCCCCCGGCGCGTTTCCTCAAGAGGTCGCCTCGATCCCTGTGTTACATGGATTTTCATGCCGGTGTGTCATACAAGTAATCACACGGCCAAATTACATTTTGAATTTTATATATATATATATTCATCTTATATAATAAACGATTAGCCAATAATATTAACATAATTTATTATACGGTTTACGGATTAAAGAATTTATCGTACTAGGTGCACAGAAAAAAAAAACGTAATATACATAGTTAAATATGATTTTTTTTAAAAAAAAAAAAAACCCTTAATAAGTTCCCGCGATGGTCTGGGCCATACGAATACTATTAAAGTTTGAAACAAATGTAAACATTTCGTACTATTGGCAAAATTATCGGAGAATACCCGTACGTTTTTCTAATTGATAATAATGTATTATACTTTATCCGTCGTTTGCAATTTAATTTAATATTTTAAAGTCACACCTTACGGCATTATTCTGATATGAAATAAAATTAGCATACCTACTTTAATGTATATAATTATTATTTATGATTATGAGTCACGGTCGAACATATTTACTGAAACATCATCGGTACACGCTATAAAACCTACACCGTACTTAAATGTTGTCAAAGCGTTACGCGAACAGCATAAAGTATTCGTTTTTACCATTGTACGTGAAATTAATAATACAATCTTAGATATCTGATAATAAAATGTGTTAAATTAAGTTACAGAAGAAAAAATAAATTCATAGAGTAAAAATCACCGGTTTTATTAGCTTTTCCCGCCTCGCACACCTGTTGTAGTCTATTCTAGATTGTTTCTTATTCTCCACTCTCCATTATCTTCACCCTTTGTTGGCCGAAAGATTTTCCGCGCGATAAATGAGGATATCGATATATTTCACGGCGAATAAATAATCTGTAACGAATGAATAAGACAAATAAAATTATATTAAAAAAAGGAATGATTACCGAAATATGATTTCTAACTCAATCGTTAATCTTCGGGTATGCTGTTTATTGGGTTTCACAATTTTAAGACATCGATAAAATGAACATTTTTGGTTGGTCAAATTGTACGGATTCAAGAAATTTTCGTCGTCCAATGTAATTCAGTGTACATTATGGTATATTATTCCGAACGAAACATTTATTTAACATTTTGTACTTTAAAATTTCAATATTATAGCATTTGTTTTTATAATGTTACAGAGTAGGAGATATACCGATTTGGTTATTATTTTATAGTAATATGTATTATCAATTAAATGAACATTTTTGAATACTGTTTGGTGATTTGTGTTTTTTTTTTTATTTTTTTGTCGAAATAAGAAAAGTACGGGATATTCCGATAAATATTATTTAGTAATAACAATTATTCCTGTACACCGATGAGCATTATTTTGTTTTTGATTTTAGAGCGAGAAAACTTATTTAGTGTTATTTTGTTAATATTATCAATTTGAAAAAAAAAAGAAACACCCGGTGAAAAATATAGAGCTTAATAATTTAGTAGTTAAACTTATATAATAAAATATTTACACTATTCAATTTTAATTATTTTAAATTATTATAATTTTATTTTAATAGTATTTAAATTAATCAACTTAACTTCATAAGCTTTAGTTAAATGGCTCGAATTTTCAAACGATCTGATTGAAAATTAAAATGAAAACTTTTACGCGTTGCAACCAAAAATTAATCATAACGATATTGATTTTTTTTTTTTTATATCAAGAACCAACGTTTTTCAATGAAGATAGTTTTGGTGGGAATTACCCATTGGCGTCAAAAACAATTTATTATCTTTTGGCACAGCCCATCTGCGTTGAAATAATAGTTTTATGATTTAGTTTTTCAAATCGTTGAATACTTTCGGAGCCATTTAATAAAGTGTTTAAAATTACATTGGTGTTTTGGATTTTTTTCGATAGGAACTTAATTCCATCAACATAACGTTTTTTTTTTTTTAAACAATAAAAAAACGAATAAATAAAACGCACACACTTATTTATATTTTATCTATTAAATTATTATTATACGTACATGAAACCAAAATATAACTTAAATAATTGTGTTGACTTTCGCTATGCGTGTTCCAAGAGAGACAAAACACCCCTTAAGCACCTTGAAAATGTAGGTACAGATGAAATCTGATACTATAAAATTAAATATTAACATGAAATTAGTTTCAATTATTTTTGTTATTTTAAAATTTGAATTGAGTCTGTATTGAGCGTTTCATAAATATTTAAATATTTCAAAACTATGTCCGTGCTTATTGTTTTATCAACGGTTTTAAAACGATATAGCAGTGGTTCTCCACCTTTTCAAGACTATTACCTATAAATTGGATTAGATATTATCAAATATCCCTCTTCCCCAAAGTTAAGTTTAAAAAAAAAAAAAAAAAAAATGATATTTTTAATCGGTGATACCGATCGATTATCAAGGTAGTAAAGACAAGTAATTAAAAAACAGTAAACGATTGAATGACAGTTGCGAACACTATTATCCATATTATGCAATGTGAAGGAATTTTCGGCTATTTAAACAGGTTTTCGATGGACAAACAATGTAACTCACTGTAAATAGTATATTTCTAATAAACACTTAGCGTCTTAATAGTATTGTAAAAATGTTATTAAAATTTCGTAATTTAAATTACAAATTTCAAATGTTTTAAATGGTAATAGATAAAATAAAAATAATCTAATAAGTATAATTAATAATACTTAACAGTAATTGTAGTGAAAATAAAAAATTTTAGCCTTGTCTTCACCCCTCAAAAAATCCCATTTCACCCATTGAGAGACAATTACACTCAGATATATAGTGACAGACGACACAATTATTTAAGTTTTAGTCAATGTACTATAATAATAAAATATACTATCGGTTTTTAGAATATATTTACGCTTAACGTATATTATAACGTTCTTTTGATTCTATAGCTATAAATAAATCAGCTTAGAATCGCTTATAGTTTAATAATATTTTTAACTAACTCGTTGACTATACAAAATACTTATAAATACACATATATCTGAATTAAGATTAATTTTAAGACTAATACTAAGACTAAGTCCTTAGGCGTAATGAATTTCTAGCGCTACAAAATCCGAGGACCGGTTATTATATTAAATATTTTTTAATGCAGCAATAAACAGTGGCAAAATTATTTTGGCTCTTCTTCGAAACGGACCATTAATACTTGGTTGTTTTTTATTTCAATAGAGCCCAAGATTAATTTCGTTAATCCATAGGTTCTTGATTTTAGTTGTATAATGCTTCTTCCGTTATTTTTAATAAAATACAAGTCGTCTTCTTCGAAGTAGTGCGTTTTGCCACTTGTCCGTGATTTGACACTGAAAAGAATAACTGCGGGCAGCAGAAAATCATTTTCATAGATACTGAAAACAAATAAAAACCATTATTATTGAATCTACAGTATTTCTGCAAAATATATATATATATAGCGGAACACAATATAATTACGAAAGTGTGCACTGCCAAACGAATTTTTACAACGCTGACAGTGATATTTAAATAAAAGAAATATGCTCCTAAACTAATAACCACTGATATCATACTTGAGTGTTTTTATGGCTCCATTGTAGGCAAAATATTTTTTAGTTTTATTGCTGTAGAAACAAGCCTCGGATTTGAAGTCAACAGCCTTTTGGTCGACGCGTTCAATTATTATCTCGATCATAAGGTTATCTAAAAGATAATTTGATTATTTTATTTTATAAAAAAAAAAAAATCCCAAACATTGATAATACCTCAGCTAATGGAGCATTTGAACGGCGCAAAAACTCGCCTTTCAATAAAGTTAACTATCGAGGGTTCTTCATAGATCGTCTACGGGCAAAAAAAAATCACTGTTAAATAAAATCCACGCAATTTCAATACTGAGACACCAATTAGTTAGGTTAATTATTTGCTAAACTCCCTAGTGTTATGGCGATACCTACGTTTATTAGGTAGACTTTTAAAGTGTTTGAGTTATTAAAGAGGTATTTGAATTAAAGCATTTTAATACGCAAATATAAGTGGTCGAATACTTAGTACTCGTATGTTTTAATATAGATCGAGTTCCGGTTAAACTCGTCTTAAAACTCCGTGGTTTTTCCAATTTTCGTTAAAATTTGAGTTTGAAACATAATAATAAAACTCTATAATTTACCAGGTGATTAATTGAACATGAAACACGTTATAAACAAACACTTATGAGTGTTTTACGTTAAATCATTCACCCGGTATTATACTCAACCTTTTTTTTTTTTTTTATATATTACCAAGTAATAAAACTTATAATAAACTTCGTGTTAAATTGTTGAGCACACAAAAAGTTCACAGAATTTAAAAAAATGTTCCAAACAATATTAACTCCGATTTGTTGGACACATTATTGGAGTTCGTTGAAAAAGATTAAAAAGTTATTCAACTTTTAAATGTCTGGCAAATAAGGAAATTATTATAGGTCGCCACTTAAAAATCAAAAGTAGATAATGGTTTCACCCCTAAAAAAAAAGGGTGAAAAAAAATAACATACATGTAAAATTTTAGAGTAGCTCGTTTCCTTATTATTATAAAGAACGAATTCTGAAAAAAGTTAATATTTTCAGAGATAACTGCTTAAATGGATCACCTTGTACTCTAAAACAGTATATTATATAATATAATTTTGAATGTTTTATTATACTTACTTCAAGGTCAGGTTTCTTACTGGGACGTTTCTTAAATTTATCGGATAAATAATCTATGGATTCATCCATCATATTTTTGAATCTATGAAATATAATGCAATTATTATTAACATTATTATTATTAACATTATTATTATTAACATTATTATTATTAACGTAAGACTATGTCTTTGGTACCCGAGAAATAGGGCTCAAGTAAATTTTGTATATTTTTCAATGCAAGCGATTTCAATTTCAAAATGTCCATACATGTTTACAAATAAACTAATACACGACATACATTCAATTATGCAAATACATACGATTACGCGGTTTCATTTGGATAATAATATAAAGGGAAAAAATACGCGCGTAAATTTTTTTAATTTTATATTTTACCGATTCTAATCAAAATATTGTGTATTAAATTATTATTGAAGTAATTGAAAAAAGGCGTCCTAGGATAATGGAGACGGGCGTAGCCTGTTAAAGATAATTTAATGTTATACCTGTAAGCAACGATAAATCATTATTTACGAAAAAAACGATTCTGTGCAAATTTCAGTTGATAGTGATGCTCCGTCAACAATATAATATTATATGCCATACTATAGTAAAACTATTAATTAGGCCCTATATATTTTCCTTAATAATATTTTTTTAATGTTGTACCGATTTTCCCAGTTTCCCTGGTTTTCCCATGTTTTTATCCCAGTTTTTCACATTTGCTTGGAAAACTCTTGGAAAAATCGAAAAATGAAATCTCTAAAGTAACACCCCAGTAAAATTTCCTTTCAGAAAAATCGCTATAATTATAAATCGGAACCAAATTGCTTGTAGAAAAGTTGTTCACAGGAAAAAAGGCCGAATGATATTTTTTATCTAATACCTACATTTCTTATATTTCCCCGTTTTTCTTCCAGTTTTTTTTTTTATCGGTTTTTCACATTTGATGAGAAAACTCCTAAGACAATCGATAAATGACCTCCTTAAAATACCTTCCCACAACGATTAAATTTCAGAAAAATCGATACACTTAAAAAATCGAAGCAAGTAAATTTTAGTAAAATCATAAGTTTCTTTGCTCCACTCAGAATATGAAATTTAAAAAAAAAAAATACAAACAAAAAAAAAAATTCAACATTTGACCCGGCGAGCCCATTTTCCCTGGGACCAATGACAATATACAATTATGCAGAATATATACGTGGAAAAAAAAAATATATTACCTTCTTAATCCATTCCCGCTTGTCGCTTGAAAATCGGTCCATATTTGTCTTAGAGCCATAATTATACCGTTTTGTGTCGTTTTGTACCGTCAGACTGATACCGTTTTACGATATTATTATTATACGCGTTCTGTATAATAATTAATATAGGTATTTGGGTGAATTATTATGCGCTGAAGTATTTTTTAGTTGTTATTGCAATAATAAATTGTCTCTATCGACTTTCTGTTGATGTGGACCTTAATATAGAATTGTACTACTTCATGAAACGATGGAGCGTTTCCCGTTAAGAAACTGATATTAAAAACTGAAAATAATAATATTACCTCGTAATACGCATATTGTATTTATTTATTTACAGTAATAATATTATTATATACTATCATAGTCCACTAAAAATTACACAAACTTATCGAGTAAAATGTTTCGGTATGGTATTTTTCGTCGGCTCGGCATGAGCCACCGTTTCGAGCGATTAATAATCACGATCGCTTAGTTTTGGCGTTCAGATGACTCTAAGCGGGGTTTAGATTTACCATCGATACCTTATACTATATTGTACTATTACAGTTTGTTGTATTTTGGAATACACAAAGGTAGTTGAAAAAGTGATTTTTTTTTTTGTTTTTGATCTCAATTATTTAAAATCTACAAAGAAAATCAAAAACCATCTATCCAACTCGCCAACCAAATTGAAAATGCAACAAAAAGGGTCTCTGGGCATTTTCGAAAGCAATATTTCTAGTAGAAAACATTGTTTGCAAAAATTAAAAACAATGAAATCAGCAACAAAACAGGTATCTTGTAGGTTTTCGATTGGAGCAAAATTTTTGGTGGAAAAGTCGTGAACAGACAAAAAAAAATAACTAATAAAAAATAATGATGCATACAAATTTACCATTAGGGCTTCGAAGTAACAATGCTCAAAGAGTTAACTTTTAGTGCATTACTATGCACTAGAAAATTACCGAAATCAGCGATGTAATTAATAGCATTAAAAATTGATATGTATGCTAAGTAAAATTACTCAATTAAATTTTTAACTAAACAAAGTATAGGAAACGAACGGAAAATTGTCCGATTAGATGATTAGATGATTAGAACAACCGAATGCGACCTCTTCATTTTCAGATGCATTCAGTCGCGCTGTTTGAAAATCGAAACGAAATAGCTCTACGAGTCTTGAAATATATGTTGATAAATAAATAAAAAAAAAAACAACAACAAAAAATTTCGTACGTTATCCACAGTGAAGTGTGTACGAAACGTATGCATTTCTTACTCGGCTTGTTCTAGGCGTCAATGAAAATCACATTACGCGTAACGCTAATACTTCCGACCCATAATTATTGCCGTAGTGGTTTTAATATGTTGTTCTGCTCGAGTAAACAAACTGTTCGTAACTAACTTATTCAGTTAAACCATCGTTGCGAATTTTGATTTATGCGCGTTGTCGGTATTAAAAATAGCTACGATAATTTTGATACCGCGATGATGCTGTTTACGAATATTTTTTATCCGACAAACGATAACAATAATATTCGTCGTAGTAAACCGAACGATTGCGTAATTATTGTACTGTCGCTCTTCCTACCACTATAGTAATAATTAATTGTCTTTCGCCAATCTTCCTTGCTCTCGTGCACAATGTTGTGGCAGGCGAACACGAACAAACGCTATCGGCCGACGTGTGTACCGTCATTTTCTCTACTCTCTCACCAACTAACAACGCCGCGAAAAACGAGGCCCGCCCGGAGCGCAAAACAAAATGGCACGGTTTTGGAATATTCGTTTTCGCGCGACATTTGGACGACACGGGATTCCGAGCGAAACAAACGAACAGTGCACGCGTTTGGGCGCATGATATTCTCGGCGGCATTCGTTCCGTTTCGACGGAATCGCGCGATTACGGTCGTTTGGCGACCACTGAAAATCGTTGAAATGACAACATTGCCCCGTTGTTTGGGACGTGGTCAGTAAAGGCCGGAGAGTTTTGGTGCCGGTCCAACGCGAAATCGGCAGGTGACATATTATTAATAAAGCGGTACGCAATACCTGGGCGTGTTGTACGAAGTAAAATACTTTTGACCCGAGCGCAAAACCATTGAGACTTTTGGTGTACATAAGGCCGTAACGTAATAATAATATTTTATTGTGCGCAGTGTAACCAACTGACCGAAAACGCCGTATTCGAATCCCATCTATCACGTCGCGGGTCGTTCGCGTTACACCGGCGACGACGTTGTCGGCATAATGACCGGGACCCGGCCCGTGCGCGTTAGTGAACCGTTACGCATCGGGACGACCGCATCACGGATCGGTACATCGCGCCCGCGCGCGCAACGTTGAATCATAAAAAAATATTATGTCTCCGTTGATCGGGGACCTGTACAGGCACATCATCCGGGACGAGACCATGTGCGTCAAGTACTTGCAGGACCGGCAACTGTTGCCGGGCGACGGCGAGCGCGTGTGCACGCGGACGAAGAACGGCTCGTCCTGCGGCGGGGCGCTCAGGATGTGCGAGCGGAAGAGCAAAAAGCGGAACGCGGACGGCACGTTCCAGAAGGTGGTGGCGTACAAGTGCAACCGGAAGGGTTGCCAGACGTACCAGTCGATCAGGAAGGGCAACGCGTTCTTCGCGTTCACGGACGCCAACGGCCGGTGCAACAGCCAGCTAAGCCTGGCCGAGACGGTGGAACTGGTGTGGTTCTGGGTGCACCGGGTGTCGGTCGGCCAAGCGGTCCAGTTCACCGGCCGGAACAAGAAGACGATCGTCGACTGGTACGAACTGTGCCGGGACGTGGTGGTAGCGGCGTTCGGCGAACGGGCGAAAATCGGCGGGCCCGGGCGCACGGTACAGGTGTACGAGACGTTCTACCCGGGCGACGGCGGCCCGCGGGACGCGCGGATAGTGGTGTTGTGCGGGGCCCGGGACGACGGTTGCCTGGAGAGACGGTGTTTCGTGGTGGGCGACCGGGACGCGGACACGGTGATGCCGATCATCCGCCGGGACGTGGAACCGGGCACGACGATTTTCACCGATTCGCGGTGCGCGCGCGAACGCCTCGCGGAATACGGCTATTTGTGTTTCGGGTACGCGGGCGCGCCCGCCGCCGCCGTGGATTGCGTGACGCGCGCCGGAACGCAGGCCGTGCAAGCATTGAGCCGGTTGCCGGATCCGGCCGGGCCGGCGGCGTCGGCGGACGCGGGCGGACGCCGGGGCCGCGGCGCCTCGAAAATCCCGACCGCGGTAGCCCTCTCGCGCCAGCTCCAAGAGGAATGGTGGCGTTCCGTTCACCCGGACAAGACGACCGTCTTCGACGAATTCCTAGGCGACTTGAAAAACGCGTTCTTGTAGAAACGATCGCGCGATGCGTATTAGACGGTCAGAAGTCAAAAATTAAAAAAAAAAACCGTTTTTTTTTTTTTGTTTTTGTTTTTGTTTTTTTTTTGTTTCAATTACAATTTAAATTTATAACGATCGCGTTTTCGTCGGTTTTCGAATCCCGAACTCCGGTCCGTTTTATCAATTGTCTACATAATTATTTACGTATTTTTTTTTTCGGGTTGGGGGGGCTTAACGTATTGTAAACAAACGCGAATTATGTTTCGAACGCGTTTCGTTTTTTGTTTTGTTTTTGTAAAATTTCATATTATTATAGATAATGATAGCCGATGAACCGCACGTGTAATTTTATCATACTTATTTCAAAACGAAATAACGATTGACGAACGAAACGAAAATAACTAAACAATTTACTTCCTTCTACCACACTAAAAAAAAAAAACAAACAAACCGGAACTCTCGATTAATATTTGACGTATTATTACACGGACGTATACGCAAGTGACCGGGTAGGGGGGGCGGACAACCGTGTTTTAACGCATTATTGTTTCGTCCCTGAATGGAATTCTCGTGTGCCCATACGAAATAAAAAATTTAATTTTTTACTTCTACTACATAATACAGCTTTATTAAGTATATATTTTTGTTTTTCACACGGGAACCTCGAATTTTGAACACACATTCGAATAAAGAACATCTGTCTAGACATTTTGGCGTGTTTATTGTACAAAACTATTACTATCAGATTCACTATTTATCAGATAAAACCGTTTAAAGTTTAGACCGGGGGAGTAAGCTACAGGGGTAATACATTTCGTATCTATTTTTAAATGACATATTGATAACTCTTCTCCGGTCTAAACTTTAAACGGTCCATTCACTTAAATTCTTCCGGAAAAATTGCTGATACATGATAAAAAAAAAAACCTCTCTCTCTCTATATATATATATATTGAATTCATATTGTTAAACCGTATTCATTTAGATTTTGTCTACAAGTCTCTAAGTCTCTATGTTATAATATTTAAAAATACACAACTCTCCGTGATCATCACAAAGCCTAGTTTAAAGGAGATAGCCGATAATCGAAAATGGTTTTTTTTTTTTTTTTTTTGTCAAATCGTTTTTGCAGTCATTATTTTAAATAAAATTAATTATTTTTTTTAAAAAAACAAAGAATTACTGATACTTCATATTTGGTACCAATCGGTAGGTACTGCGGATAAATTTTTTCAATTTTTTTTTCTTTTTGTTTTAAAACCGTACATTATTGGTCAAGTCGGGATTTTTCCGAACCCTAATGACCGCAAATATTTTCACCGTACCCTATTATAAAACACTAACATTGTACGGTGGCCGACACGTAGATTTTTGCGACGAAAAACCGGACAGATCCTACAGGCAGTGGCGTAGCCAACGGGTAGGCGTGGTAAGCCCGGGCCTGTCCACTTTTCTATGAAAATTAACACAGTTTAAAAATCAAAAATTTTGTATTAGTAGTCTTTCCTATTCAAACGTTTATATTATTTAATCTGGCCTACCCAGAAAAATATTTCTAGCTACGCCTCTGTCTACGGGTACTCTGCAGGATACGTTTTTTTTTTTTTTTTTTACCGCGAATAATATTTCTCGAATTCTCGAATATATAATATATACTCACTTATTGCCGACGTTAAACTCGCGTCTGTTAGACACATACCAATAACGTTATTATATATGTGTACGCGAAACAAGAAATAAAAAAAAACGGAACACCGCGTCAAAGCCGGCAATAACACGACTATATTACATTATAATAACTACAAAACTATAGTTAACTAGTTATTTAACTACAAAGCGGCTATATAATAATAACAATAGTAAACGTGAAAAAAAAAAAGCTAAAACGATAAAAAGTTTTATTATTTTTAAAACTATTATTGTCTGCCGCGCGCGAGACAAAAGGAAAAAACAAAAAAATACGCTTTTTTTTTTTCTTTACTACAGTATTTTCAACGGCTACGGCAATTGTAATAGAATAATAAAAAAACAATTGTTACTAATATCGTAGACTAATGTGTAGCTGTTATTGGTGATTTTTCCGATTGCGGAAAATTTAATTTTGCAAAACACGGACCGACGTAATGGATACGGAAAAAGATCGAGGACACGATCCGTCAGAAAGGTCCAGTACATTTTTCGTAAGGAACAATAATATTATAAAACCGTTTGGGTAATATTTCTAGTTTCTTGTTATTAAAATATTAAAATTTCTGATACGAACCACCAGAAACAAAATTTAGAACGGCAAAATTTGTACGTGTAAAACTTGGGAAGGCGAATTTCGGGTGATTAAAATTTCAAAATTAATAATAATAATACGCACTGTGACGATTTTCCAAGTATTGTGTTTCCCAGTTTTGGCAGTCGGTCCATTTTGAATGTTATTTTAGAGTATGCAATATAAACACCGCTTATCGGTCTGGGTCCGGAACACATCTGAGCCCGCATTGACTGAACGAACCGTCGAATATGTGCACAAATACTTTTTAAGTATTCCGTGTAAAAACCAGAGCGTAGTTAAACGCCAAAGAGCGTTTGAAAAATAAAAACACACAGAATGCAAAAAATGCCATACAAAGTACCGCCGAACGGAAAATGCACGTAATTTAATGGGAAAAACGACGTCATTAGCCGAGTGACGTCGTCGTCAACAAATATTTTTGTTAAATTTCTTTGAGAAAATTCTTCTCCGAATTTCCACGAAATTCGTCTCTCCGGTCGGGTTTAAGGAAAGGGACATTTTATATGCATATGAAAATAAAACAGTGTTTCCCTCGGTTACTTGTTATGGATTTTTTATAAAACATTTTCATTTCTCAACGATATGGACAGTGAAAACAATAACTATTGTAGTCACGAAGCCTGCGAACTCAATAAGCGACGTCTACATTTACTGGATTACGTACCCGAGTGCTTTTGATAGATTCAATAGTTTTATACGTGTCCCGAGCTTAGAAGAGTTATCGGGATTATTTCGTCGGCGGGACCGGTGACATTTTTTTTTATACCGTTTTCAATACTTTTAAGGCAACTTGATCTGTCGCCGGATTTTTTCGGCACACAGTTGTGCGTAGGATTTTCGCGAATATCGGCGTGTCTATAGTAACAAGCGTCGGAAACGGCTTATTTTTTTTTTTTTTACAATAAAATATAAATTATATTTATCGGTTTGGTTATTCAACACCAAACAGCTGTCGTACGACGTCTATACCGCATGCGATTTACATATAAATTCATACCCGATTGACCGTTCATTACGTAAAATAAACCGAAATTGTATTGTTCGTCGTTCGGAAACGCCTTCGGCTGATACTGTGGCTGCGCCGTTGTCGTCACCTGAAACACGTTTTTCGATTTGAATCACAGATGTATTGTACAATAAACCAGACTGCTAACTGCCGCGGTAAGAACCGAAGTTTCGATCGGCCGTTTTTTTTTTTTTTTTTGGTTCGGGGTTCGCCGGCCTTATCGTCGGGCACCGGCTATTTCGCGATAACTTTGGACAGACGTCCAATACAGTGCAACACAATCGCGTTACCGATCGCGGTGACAACGGCGAAAAGACACGGATTCGTCGTTACAAAACATAAGAAATGACGACCTAGAATAATGGGAACGGGCGCGGCCACTGTTATGGGTAATTTAATGTGTATCTGTTAGCAACGATTAACCATTGCTAACGAAAAAATGATTCTGAGCGGAGTTCAGATGATAGTGACGCTTTGTCAACAATATATATATGTGCTATTATGGTAAAATAATTTTAATAATATTTGTTTAATGTACCGATTTTCCCGTTTTTCCCGGTTTTCCCGTGTTTTTTCCTGGGTTTTTTTTTTACATTTTGCGGGAAAACTCTTGAGAAAACCGAAAAATGACCTGCGTAAGGGACCTCCCCACATCGATTTCCTTTCAGAAAATACGCTACACTTGAATATCGGAGTAAGTTCTCTGGTAGAAAAGTTGTCCACAGAAAAAAAAAAACATCCTTTGTAAAACCATAAGCTTCTTCACTGCACTCAGAATCTAAAAAAGAGAAGGTATACGATAAGGCCGGCGTGTCTCGAATTGAACGGCTCCGTCTATACGCGTCAACAGCACGACGTACGAGTGTTTAGCAGTTGGCAGTCTTGTTTATTGTATAATATACCTGTGGTTCGGATTAAAACGGATATTAGTATATTAATTATTAATTTTTTTTTTTTTTTTTTTTTATTGATAAACCTTATTAATACTATTGTATCGGTAAGATATATTTTAAGAGGATCGGTTGACCACGTTTTTCCCGATGTTTTTTTTTAACATTATTTTTTATAAATCCTTAATGACGAGATTTTTCCAATAATCCCGATACGAATTTATACGGATACGGCCGATTTTACGGGCTAACATTATGATGTTGTAGATCGAAAAGCCGGATGGAACTGTGTAGGGTTTTTGACGGATTTCAATTTTGAAAACGTATTACGATCGTTTTTCAGATATTCCATGTTAGGTTAAGATTTAAATTTAATTTTTAATTGTAAGTAAAATGCAAAATACCTTGAATAGGTTTTGTTCAATCATGTAATGAATTTTTTTTTTTTACTATTTATCTAGTAAACTAACATTGAATTTCTATTTCCGGTTCATCCTACAGATCGCAGAGAGCATCTACAGAGTCACAATCTGTTTTCGAAATCGAAATACGTCAGATCGTCAAACACAATTTCAATAGTTTTGTTTAGTTTGATAATATGGGTATACCACAACCGATCTTCTCAAAGTATACGTTTAGAGAAAATTATTTTTCATTAAACAATTTCCCATACGGTACAATATTTTCATTATGTCAGCCACTTTTTCAGTTTGTATAAATAATGCAGTTAAATTAGGTATATTAAATCTATTAAGTCTAAATGAATGCAAATTTGTCGCGCATTTTGATAAATTCCTTTTGTTTCTTCGGGAACCAAACTCAGGAGTTAATTGTGTATACCTACTCGACATAACAGAGTTTAAAGTGTTTCTATGTAAAATCACCTGCAGGAGCAGTCAAATGGAGGGGATAAAATAGACAATCAGAAGAATTGACTTAACTACTTAAAAAATAATTAATAAAAACAATCAATTTACACTCGAAATACAATTAAATAATAATAAATAAAATAATAATAAAAAATAATAAATTAAATTTCTTAGATCTTACAGTTTCCATAATAAACAATAAATTTGATTCTAGTGTGGACACAGGAAACCTACACTAACTGATGCTATAATACTATATGATTCTAATCACCCTTATTCTAAAAAATATAATTTTTTACTTCAATATTCTATAGGCTTAAATAAACATAATTTAATCAACACGAGCTCAGTATTATCAACGATATAGCCCACAGAAATTATTTCAATTTAAATACTATTAAAAAATTTATAAACGTATTAAAAAAAATAATACACAACACACCAAATAATGTTGTTATCTATTGTAGTATGAAATATCAAAATAATATGTCTAACGAATTCGCTAAAATGTTGAACAATGATACAAATAATGTGAAAATCGCTTTTAAGACTAATAATCATTTAATCAAACATATAAACAATAGAACTAAAAACTTCATAAAAAATCCCTCTTTTGAAAATACTTGTATACATAAATTTAAATATAACTGTAATAAATTATGTATAGGTAAGACAATTAAACATTTTAAAATAAGATATAAAGAACACATATTAAATACCCAAAAGAACATTTATATTAATTCAGTTTTAAAATAATTGCACAATGAAATAAAAAATAATAATTTTAATACTATTTTAAATGTTCAAACCGATTTTAAAAATAATATCTTATACTAATACATTTTAGATAACTAATAATAACCAAATAATTTGTATTTCTTAACATATCTATGTCTAATAATAACTAATTTTAAATAATCTCTCCTATTAAAATAAATTATTTCTATATTCTATGCCAAACGACCAATTTTTTTTTTATCTTTTTTTTTTTCTATGGATTCCTTCATTAAATTACTTATAAATTGTTAATTACTTAACATACTGTGATGATGAATATTTAATTCGAAACCGGACGTATTTTTCATCGTTTATTTATTTTATTTTTGTACATACATTTTTGATTTATATATTTATTTAATTTATTTAGCAATAATAATTGTAAAAAACCGTCAAGCGGTTCCATTAATTTAAACCATAATACGATAAACAATTTAACTATCATAGGTTACCACAGTAATCAAACGTTACCGCAGAGTTGAATGCATTAAAATGTTGACCGTGGTATTACGTTTATTTAACTAACGGCTCCGCAGTTCCACAACTGAATTGTTTAAAATACAAACGTTTCACATGCATGTTAATAGATACACCGTATATAATATGTAACGTAAGCAACAAATAAACAAATATACGTATATTTCGACCTATTTGTAAAATTTGAATTCTTAAATTTAATCGTATTCAATTGGAAGGATATTATTTAATACGTAAAAAACCACGACACCTATCAACTGTAAACAATAGAAATTTACGGACGCTACGGGTTTTCTCGTAACATAATGTGCATATTTGTATTGATTAAACTTGAATATACTATCGAGTCCATAAACCTGCGAATGTCCTTCAGACAGAAACGAACATGTATATTATTATAAATCGCCTTAAAAAAGATGTTGAATAGAGTTTACTCGGTATGACGTATTACTAATATTATACGTATTTGTTATTTTATTTTCCGACTGGATAACAGAATAATAGTTAATAGTAATTTAATAGTTATGGTGTGTGTGTTTTTTTTTTTTTGTCTCCAGTGGCGGCGTGATTGGGTATTTCATGAGGTGATGGCCTTATGTGTCATGAGTAATGCTGGAACACTAACACGAGATTCGTTATAAGTTGTACTCAGCGGTAAAATAATGTTGAGCGTCGTTTTAGTCGTTTTATTTTTTAATCATTTACGATTAAATTTTGACGGAAATCGAAAATAATATCGTTTTATCGTTGCTTGAAGATATAAATTAAATGACTTTATGCGTCCTACCTTTCCAACATTTTTTATAATTGTTAATGCAAACGAAGAAAAAACCATTCTATCAAAAGATATTCAATTTTAAGATTTAAAGAGTTATTAATAATAAATACATTGTGTACATAAAATGTCTAAAGGAAAATTAAAAACATTTTTCGCAAATCAAATTCTTACAAAAAAAAAAAAAAAATCCGTATTATGTTTAAAAAGACATCCTAGAATAATGAGCAGCTACTGTTATAGGTAATTTAACCATTGCCAACGAAAAAACGATTTTGAGCGAAGTTGATAGTGATGTTATGTCAACAATATATATATATATATATATATATATATCATATTAAGTTAAAATTATTAAACAGGCATTATATACCGTACCGATTTTCCCGAGAAAATGGCCTCTTCAAAGTACATCCCTAGTGGAATTTCCTTTTAGAAAAATTGCTATCATTATTAGTTGGAGTAAAATTACAGGTAGAAAAGTTGTCCACGGTAAAAAATAAATATCTTTGTAAAACCATAAGTTTCTTTGATCCACTCAGAATCTAAAATTATTTAAATTAGATAAATTTATCCTAGAAAAAATAAATGAAATTCCAACGTGTTTCAAAGGACACGTTCCTTCGAGTACGTTCCTTTC